CTAAATAATCCTTAATAGCCCATAACGTCTTTGGTTTCTTTGGGTTTTTTTTTAAATCCTAAATGTTAACTAGATTTGTAATGACATTTTAATATTGAATCAATTCAGTTCAATTTGTAATACTATACGAGGGCGGTCTCAATAGTTATAAGCCACCAGCAACCAAAAACAAATATGTCATACGATGCTCTTCTATGAATAGGAGGGTTGGATGGCCGAATGGTCGAATGGTTAGCACGCGCGCGCTGTATCATGAGGCCTGTCATTGAGTCAACTGGCGTGGTTTCGAATCCCCGGCTGTACGTGACAAAGCGTAGGGTTGCCTGTCCAACCTCGTGGGTCTTCACAGGGCCCTCCGGTTTCCTCCCACTGCTAAAGACCCCTACGCGCAAGCAAATTATGGAAATAAAATTGAACCATATGTTTGTCCCGAAATAACCTAGTTTGTGTCGAGTGGACGTTAAACCCATTTCTCTCTCTCTCTCTTTCTCTCTCTCTTCTATGATTAGCTGGCTAAATGTGAAAAACCTAACAGTCAAAAATTCCCAACATCCAACGTGTGGCACATACTTTCTCCTTTGCCACATATTTTATTAGACTTGTGATACATAGATTACAAACATTATATTAAAAAGTCATTCTCTCTATCTCTCAATCCAGATGTTGCCACTTAAACCTCAATAGTCTCTCCCAACAAAATGATGTTTGCTCTCTTATATCTATAACATGGTTGTCTAAAGAATCACCCAGGGCTCAAGCATTGTATATGCCTTGACATTTGCTATCTATTCTTTAATTGGTCAAATATTACGAAATTCATTTTGATGATTGGTTACTAAGCCTAATGACCCCCTGACTAAGCCGAATGTGGAATGGATTATTCCTCACATGAGTGTAATAGACAATAGAACTTATCCTTGGCCTTAGGCCCCAAATGTCCTATATTTGTCGCAATATTTCATAAACAATTTAATTTGCGTTTAAAAATAAACTGATACCATAGCTAATATACTGACAATGGTGGATAATTAGTCAAAGCCATAATATTATTACACAACGAGTACAATCATTGAATGAATCATAGATATAAGAACTGCAACTGTAGTTTTATCGTTATCATTCGTCTTCGAACCAGACCATCTTGTGAACCAACCCATTGAAATCATCAGAAATGGACAAAACTGGATATAGGGCTATCATCAACTGCAACTGAAAGAGCTAACAGATACATGCGGCCTTGGTCTCCATGATGCCCTTTCCTTTTCCACTGTAAAAAAGTGGACTGTGGAATTTAAGCAGCACAGAGAGAGCCCATCGATAGCAACAAAGAAAACATTATACGGGTGCATAACATGGTGATGACTGATTGACGACTGCCTACTCGACATATTGCCAGTGTTGTGGGCATCTCTCATGAGAAGATTGAGCACATTATCGCCAGCGATTTAGGATCGAATGGCAAATGTTTCTGCAAGATGGGTGCCAAAGCTCATGACTGCGGATCAGAAACGTGGCAGATTCCTGACGTCCCGTGACAATCTGCGCCGTTTTGAAACAGATCCTGGTATTTTTTGGCCAGATTTATAACCATGGATGAGACCTGGGTTCGTCACTTTCAACAAAAATCCCAAATTCAGTCTAAACAATGGAGAGTCGTCAGTCACAACAAAAGTTGGAAAGGTGATGGCTTCAGTCATTTGGGATTTCAAGGGTATTCTGCTGATGGACTATCTTGAAAAAGACCAGACTATCAATGATAGATCTTATACTGACCTACTAAGACAGTTGCTTGAAGCTATCAAACCTAAGCGACGGGAAATGCTCACTAAGGGCGTCCTGTTCCATCAAGATAATTCTCTTGTTCATAAATCGGTGATTGCCTTGTCAGTCATCCATGGTTGTGCCTTCGAACTCATTGACCACTCATTTTACTCGCTCGATTTGACCCCGTCATACTTCCATCTGTTCCCTAAAATGAAAAAAAGGAACTAGCCGGTCGTCATTTTCCTAGTAATGATAACGTCATGTCAGATGTGAACGACTCTTTAAAGGACAATATTGGTGCCAGTCATTATCACATATGTGTTAGAGTTGGTTAAACACATCCCAAATATACTTTTGCCCCATAGATCATTGCTACGATAGCTGAGTAATACAGGTTTCCCGTATCGGAAGTGACGAACGCCAAAGGAAAACACGAGTCACCGCTCTATATAACTGACTGAAGCGACGAGTGATAACAGATACACAGCCGAATTTCTGCTCACTAATAATTCCTTTGAAGACCAACAGTTGTTGTGTGAGACTGTGAGAGGATATCTGACAATTCATAAAAAGAATTGACTGTCACTAGATAAGAGAACACGAAAGAAAAACAGAAAACGACCGTGCATTACCATGTTTTTATAAGGTATAGAATGAATATAAACAAGGGAATGTACGGACTATCTCTATTTTTCTCGTGTTCTCTTATCTAATGACATTCAATTACTTTATTGAATTGTCAGATATCCTCTTACAGTCCCATATAACAACTTTTGGTCATCGAAGGAATTATTAGTGAGTAGAAATTCGGCCGTGTATCTGTTATCACTGAACCGAATATACCAGTCATTATCACATATGTGTTAGAGTTGGTTAAACACATCCCAAATATACTTTTGCCCCATAGATCATTGCTACGATAGCTGAGTAATACAGGTTTCCCGTATTGGAAGTGACGAACGCCAAAGGAAAACACGAGTCACCGCTCTATATAACTGACTGAAGCGACGAGTGATAACAGATACACAGCCGAATTCAATTGTTTCCGTTTTGTCTCTTAATTTCAAATCAGTTATGTCCAGCGAAATAAGGCATGTGTCTCAACCCTATAGAAATTTCTAGCGTCTGGTTATTCCAGTCAATTGAACAGGCTCTCTAGTTGAATATTTCTAGCCTCGTTCTTTCTGGTCACTTGTTGCAAATGACGCTAAAACGCACTACGGTACACTATTCGTGTACCATTGGTAAAATGTTTATTTTGTCTTAAATATTGGATATCAGAAGCCTGCCTTTTCCTGGTAAGATCACAACATCAATGTTGATTTGAATTGACAAATAATTCATATTTTCAACGTGTAAGACTTTGGATGATATTGAGTTAGAGACTTAGCTACTTTAAATCATTTCGTCGGAAGCCACACTGCTTGGAAAAATATCATCTAATTGGTGCTCGAAATCTAATAAAACACTAATTTTACTTTTCTTTTAATATAATTTGAATACCGCGAATATGTACTAAATTGACTGTGGATTAAAACAGTTTGTCTAGAGCCACACTGGTTTGGGTGACATTTTTCGGGCACTAATTATTATTTGTGAATACAGCTCCAATAGTCTGGATGATTGGAATTCAGTTCGGCATAGAGTGGGATTTCGGTTGCAAAAGTTGCTGGACTCATGGGCTAGAATTGCAGAAACATGCATATGCGGAGGTTAAATTTTCAAATTTTTCCGAAGAAGGGCGAGTTCCCCATACAGCGTTCATGGAATATCAAAGAACGTTGAATATCAATAGGTCTGGTCCTTACGTGACCCCCAATGCTTCATACCAGATTTGAAAGGAATCAGTTAATACCTATAGCCTCTATCCAGTCCACAATGTTTACGGCTAGGGGCATAACTCTAGTACGGAAGGTCACGGAACGTTAAATGTCAACAGGGTTCGACAACTTATGACCAGAATGCTTCTTATCAAATTTGAAAAGAATCCTTTAAAAACTGCAGCCTCTATTGCAACCACAACGTTTTCAGCAAATGGGAGATAATTCCAGATGGAAGCTCCCCGAATGCTGAATATCGATATTGTTTGTCCACTCATGACCACAATGCTTCACACCAAATTTCACAACCCAAATGTTGACGGACGAATTGACAGACGAAGAGTGGGAAATGTGGTCGTATTAAAATGTTCAATATTTATATTTATTCGATTTGTGTTAGGCCCACTGACCATGTATATAGGCCCACGCGTTTCCGACGGCCGTGGTTTCTCCTTGTCAGTGGTGCAGGACGGTGGCCTAACAAGGACAACTGTCTAGTAGATCGGATGGGACGAAAAACCGAGATCCCATGTATACATTGGCGTGCACATAAAAAATCCCTTGGTAGTTGGAATTCAATATAAGAGTAGGTCATAGTGCCGCTGCCGGGCAAAATTCCCTCATCGCACACTGTATGTATGCCCGCCTTCGTTAGCCCAGTCAGAGCAGAACAGTAAGCAGAATAAACCCCATTTCATTAAATTTCATTCCAAATCTGCAGTTGCCCAGTTGGTCTTAATATTTAGACCTAACCCTGGACATAGAGTAATGTAACTCTATGGGACTGGAAAACCTGTGTGAGGTGTGAGGGGGGGCTAGTAGTAGTCTTGAGTGTCGCGCCAAATGGTTAGCACGTGCGCGCCGTATCATAGGTCTGCAATTGAGTCAACTGGCGTGGTTTCGATTCCCCTGTTGTACGTAATTGACTGGTCGCCTGTCCAACCTCATGGGTTTTCTCCGTGTCCTCCGGTTTCCTCCCACTGCTAAAAACTCCTACGCGAGCGAATTATTGAAATAAAATTGACGAAATTTGCAGGTCTTAACCAGGGTTAGGAAGATCTATATTACGAGATATGTACGCCTTACCCAAATCCTAACAATCGCGTGCCCTAACCCTGTTTAACTCTCGTGACCGTGAGGAAATATGCTTCCTTGGCAAATAGATCTGACTACGCCCAATCCAGATTAGTTTTGGGTTTGTTTTTTTTTATAAACGTCTGTGATAGAAGGGAGATCACTCTACAAAGAAGTTTCCTGTTTTTGGTATGGTATAAGCGGCAAACCCATTCCACCCAGCTTTACTTTAGGAAAAAATATTATTTAGCTAATTGTATGTATTTGAAAGCTTATATTTTTAGACAAGGTTCACATTTCGGCAGATACTAGTTCATCTACTGCATCCCTCATAACCTTTTTTTTTAAATGTATTGTCATTGACGTAGGGGACTGGAAACCATATCTGATTCCAAAATTTTGGTACAACGTGACGTGGCGACAGTTTCTTCAAGTTTAAGGCACAGGAAGATAAACACGGCCGCCATGGATGTACCGTCCGGCTTTAGACAGTCTTCTGGCAAAAAGAAAAAGTCAAGCAAGTCACAAAATCGACCCCAGTTATTTGAAGACACGAGTGTCAACCCTTCGTCTGGCTTGCAACAAACTGATGCTTATTACCCGCCACAACATGATCCGATGGCTATGCATGGAGGAGGCTATGGCATGCCACAAAATCAGTTTCTTGGACAACAATACATGAACGACCCGATGGCGAATATGGCAGTACAGTATGGCACTTCTTTGGCCGGACAGGGAAAAGAAATGGTGAACAAAAATCTTGAGAAATATGTCAGTGCTTCAAAAATCAAGTATTATTTTGCAGTTGATACTGCTTATGTTGGTAAAAAGTTGGCCTTGTTGACATTTCCATTCACTCATTCAGATTGGTCAATAAGATACAATGAAGATGAACCTATAGCTCCCAGATATGATCATAATGCCCCAGACCTTTATATACCTGTCATGGCATTTGTAACATATATTCTGACAGCAGGATTTGTTTTGGGTACACAAGATCGCTTTACTCCAGAACAACTAGGAATTCAAGCAAGTTCAGCATTGGTGTGGATTATTATAGAAGTGTTAGCCATGACATTATCTCTATATGTGATGAATATGAATACAGAGTTGAAATATTTAGATACATTAGCATATTGTGGTTATAAATATGTTGGAATGATCATGAGTTTATTAGCAGGACTTCTATTAAAGAATAATGGATATTATTCTGTTTTATTGTGGTATAGTTTGTGTATTGTCTTCTTTTTAATTAGGACATTAAGAGTGAAGATTCTGCCTCATCAACATGATGGCTTTACATCTGGAAGTAAACGAAGTCTATATCTTATTTTAACCATATCTGCCATACAGCCGTTAATGATGTGGTGGTTAACTAGCCATATTATGTTTCAAGCAAAGAAATAATATGAAATTATGCATGCCTTATTAAGTAGTACAAACTACAATGTAACAATATCTGTCTGTGCACAGACTTAATAAGGAATTATGAATTGATTTTAGAGGCCATATATATTGTTCATAAAATATTAATTATTTAAAACGATTGTTTCCATGGCTTGCCAAATATGTAGATATTATTATCTTAAAAGGCTGTCAGGATTGTTATCTATTATTGATGTACATTAGAGTAATATACATGTAAGTAATTTCTTGCTTTGTCTCACAGCTTAAATATATATGTAGCACCCTCCTCTGTTAGAGTTCCAAAGCTTTAAGATTATCGTACGTTTGTGAATAATATTATGTAGAGTAGAGGTATGTTTCAAATTAAACTGAAGGGAGAAGAACTGTGAAGGAGCTAAACCTCTTTAATTAAGGTCAAATTAAACTGTAAAATTGGATTGATCTGATGTGTTCTGTCGATTTGTCATGGGAGATGCTCTATAGTACTAAAGTTTTGTTTCGAAAAATTAACCGTTACGTTTAATTTATATCTTAACACTGAAACGAAAACAGATTGTCATACCACAACAGAAGTTAACATACCGGTATGTACATGTAGTACAATATCCAATGAAATCGACAATTTTACTTTTGACCCCAATGAAAGAGGTCTAGTCATTTTAAATTGATATTGCTCTAGTATATTTTGTATGATATATTTACTGCTCAATATGACAATAAATGCATTGTGTAATACTTAGCAAAATTTGATTAATTCCACAACAACAAAATAAGAACAGTAGTGTAGTAAGGGGAAGGGGCGGTCATGCTGCTGTTTGTTAAATATCCAATGAATCTATACAATATTAATTTAGAATTAATGAGTTTTTCAGTTCAGGTAGTTACAACTATTGTTTATTTAGATTACAGTTAAAAAAGACTGAATTAGGAATATGAATTTTCAAAAGGTGTCTTTAAGGTAAGATTCCATTGATGGCCATAATACAGCCTTTTTTTACCTAAATGTAGAATTTGGCTACTTTAAAGTAAAATTGGTTCCCACAAAAGTGCCATGGCTGTGCGTAAATGAATCAGAATCTATACGCAATTTAATACATTCAGTTTTTTATAAACCAGACATTCCAAGTATTTCCTTTCAGTTAACTTCAGTTGTAGAGGTCTTTGGTTCTGGAAAGTTTCAGCAATACAAGGTGCTGGCGTCAGACCTGTTGCTTTTTACTTGTGTGAACCCCCACAACAAGATGGTACCTTTTGTAACTGAAGTCCAGACTGTGTGGTTAATAGCTCCTAGCCCAGGAGTCCTGGGTAATAATGAAATGAAATGGGGTTTAACGTCCTACTGTTCTGCTCCGAACTGGGCTAATGAAGACGGGCATACGCCATACATACAGTGTGCTATGAGGGAAATTTTGCCCAGACAGCGGCACTACGACCTACTTTTATATCGAATTCCAACTGTCAAGGTATCTTTTACATGCACGCCAATGTGTACACGGAACTTCGGTTTTTCGTCCCATCCGAACGACTAGACAGCTGGAACCACACCGGAAAAACTGTTTGAACTTTCTCGGCCAATGCAAGGATCGAACACCCGACCTAGGGTAATAATGAGTTAAGTCATCATTCAAAATTTTGTCAATGGTCTTCGATACTGCCACAACTGGAACTTTATTTATGCCAACTCAATAATTTAATGTAGTCAATGGAAACACAAAAATATAATTCAAATTATCAAGACCGCTAAATGTCAACCTGAAATATTTAAGGTTTCGGGTTATGGAAACATTTATGATATCAACTTCCCGCTGCCAACCCATCAAATGTGAAAATGTTGATATTAGATATATTGCTGACTTGTACCCATTGAGGTCTCCCTACCTAATAATTTCAAAACCCATCGGTAAAATTTTTTTTTTCATTATTAAATATTTTTTTTTTTTTTATCACCAAATCGCCAGGACCCGGGCATTAGGCATTTGCCCTCGCCATGATCTGTCACTGGAGATACCCAATACAGTGTGCTATGAGATAGATTTTCCCCGGAAAACTGAATTCCAGTTAAAATACACAGAAGATAATTAAAAACCATCCAAATTTCTGAAGCAAAGGTTACAAGATTTATCAGCTCATTTATAACAAATTTAATTTAGTTTTACATTCAATTTCTTAGCTTCCTGACTGACAGTTAATGTTTTTCCAGCTTAAAGTAGCTAAGTCTCTAACTCAATATCATCCAAAATCGTCGACATTGAAAACACAAATTGTCAATTTCAATCAACTTTGATGTTGTGATCTTACCGGGAAATGATAGGCTTCTGATATCCAATATATAAGACAAAATAAACATTTTACCATTGATACACGAATCATGTACCATAGAGCATTTCAGCACCATTTGTAACAAGGGACTCAAAGAATGAGGCTATATACTGTATATTCCACAAGTCATATCAAACAGTAACCCCATATTCTTATCTGGAGAGCATGTGCAATAAATACTATCGGTGTAGACTGGAATAACCAGATGCTAGAGACTGCTATTCGATTGAGACTTCCAGGGTATTTCGCTGAACATAACTAATTTGAAATAGCGTAAAAAACGGAAACGATAGAATGTAAATCAGTTTATATACATTCATATTACATTATTATATGCCTTATGACCCATTTGTGTCAATTTCTAGGTCCCAAATATTGGGGATTTAGCTCCTTTAATTGATTCTTGGAATATTTACTACCATTTGAGAATTTTGGAATAAGTGAAATTATATGTGGGCTTTACATTTTTTCCTTGTTGATAAAGCATACCAGTATATTCCAATTGATTAAATTTTGTTTATTGATCCCAAGTATATATACTATGAACAAAATATATGCTATATATCAATAATACATATAGATGTAATAGTAGTATAAAACAGTTAAATAAAAGAAGTTAAAGATAGGTTGCCAGATGTAATAGTAGTATAAAACAGTTAAATAAAAGGAGTTAAAGATAGGTTGCCAGGCAACTAAACATACGCCCACAGCAGCTAAGTAGTCTGGGCAGTCAACAAGGGTTGTCACATATTTTTTCTTTTCTCGGTTAAATGAAAACATTTACAGCACACTAGAAACTGATTTAGAGTAACATTACATGAAGTAATTATCAGAAATCATTAGAATTTTGTTTGGTTTCTAGTTCTGCCACATGCTAATGTTTAGTATACAAACCATTTAATATTATGAATTTTCCTGTTCAAGTTATCGGAAGTCAATAGACTCTGTTGTTTCATGACTGTTAACACTGTGTATAATGTCAATCGGATGATAACTTTTGTCTGTGAACAAGAATATTCAAAGAGGTTAAGGCCCAAGGTTCATAACTCTGGCAGAAATCTGTCACAGTTCTTGCAAACCGAGGAATCTGATATATTTAAACATAGATTATGCAAGAGCTAAATCTGCCTATTGCAGGTCTTTCTTCATGCCTGAAATGTTATATAAACTATTACCGGTAATTAGACATTTATTAACAAAACAAGACCATAATCAACTCTCGATGGCATCAGATACTCGAGATTTTAACTAGATTAAAACAGTTCACCAGTTAAAAATTTAATTTAAAAATGGGAAAGCGAGGCTAAGTCTCAAATATACCAGTGCCCTGGTCACCACTATGCACACATCTTGTCAAAATTACAAACAGTAATGACTTGGCTCAGAATGATGTAGTTTGAATGAAATTTTCAATACTTCATTTTACATTATCTATTTTTGAGCTATTATAGCAAGAATGGTTAGCTCTTTATCTAAATCTTACTTAATGTATCTTTTAAGTATTGAGAATTATGCGTTTGAAATAACATTTATTTGTGATTTAATATTTCATACATATACATCATGACACGGAATGCCATTTACATAAATATTATCTGACGGCCACAGAAATAACAACCGAGTGCAAATTTCAAATGCATAATTCCCAATGCTTAAATCAGATTCGTCATTTTGGGAGAAATGTGATGATTTAAGGGAAATTGTTGAAAATCCATAGGCTTCTTCGTCTCATGACATTAAACACTGTGTATCAATCAGACATTAAATTTAGCCTCTAGATCATCCACAACAATTTTTTCAAAGTGATCAAGGGCCATAACTCTGGCAGTAATTAAACACTGTGTATAAATTAAAAGTCAATCCGGCAATAACTTTAGTCCCTAGAACGTCCACAAGATTTTTCAAATTACTCTGGCAGTAATTATCGGAAGTCATTGAAAATCAATAGGCTTCTTCGTCTCATGACCATAACCACTGTGTATAAATCTAGAGTGTCCACAAGCATTGTGGACACTGGACGGACCGACAACAATATACGACCAGATTTCAATGTATAAAAACTAAATCTCAATGATTCAATATTGAATGAGAAAAGAATGTCAAATATAATGAAAACTATGTAGTATGTATGCAGTCAGTATATAAGGAAAAATATAAACAAAACTATGTAGTCTTTATGTAGTCAAGAAATAAACAAACATGTACCGGTAGTCTATATGCAATGTAAAAAAAAAATATAAACTAAAATATTCATTCTATATGCAGTATATAAACTAATATATATGCAGTATATAAACTAAAATATGTAGTCTATGCAATATATAATGAAAATAATATATATACCTCTCTGTATGAAAATATAATGGAAACTACTAAGTCTTTAAATAATAATTTCAATACTGTTGACTGTCCCCTACATAAATCAAGTACTAGTATTTTCTATATATCCATGAGAAAGATATAATAAATCAACCACACAATTTAAAAAAAAAAAGGACTACCGGTATTTTAAATTCAAATTAACGTAAATTTCTAATTTATAAAAACACACTAAGTAACATGAAAAAAAATCTTTTGAAACAAACAAATCTCATCTAATAATTAATCACTAAAAAGAAAGAGATGTAAATTGGTAATTTGAACATATTTACAATAGAAAGTATATTTGTGATCTGTTTTTTTCAATCAATCATTTCATGTTAGTTCTTTTTTTTTTCAATACAAAATATTTCTTCATTTAAGATATGGATGTATTCCATTTGTAACATAAATCTTAAACAACAATAAATACAAGTATTTTGACAATAAATTTGGGACTAAATTTAAGAAAAAAACAATAGCATGAAAATTTAAACAAATAAATATATAATAAGTACCGGGAATCTTATTTTTTAAAATCAGAATAGATTGTATGAATACCAAGACTATACCATATTCTAGCATAATAACAGACTATCCATTTAAAATGCAACTAGCATTTCTTATATTTCATAACACAATCTGTCAAATTATGGAGACAATTAAACAAAAAAACAAATATTTGATTATCTGTAATAGTTTTGTATAAAAATGTATTTAAGAATATATACATGTATTTCCCTATATTCATTTGTGTTGATATATGCTTGATAACGACTTGTGAAACCTTGTTGAAACGAAACCTTGTTGAAACGTCCCAGTGAAATAAATGGTTATTCATAAATTATGTTTTATTTGATTATGTTCCAATTACTAAATGTCATTCAAAGAATATACCCCTATTCTGTGAGATAGTTTAATTCACCTACTTTTTAACCAGTTCTTAATTGGGAAAATTACTTTATTACTTATTTCATTCACTCACAGCATTAGTGAGAAAATGGGGTTTAACATCCACTCAATACAAACTAGGGCATTTTGGGATTATACAGCATTAGCGGGAGTAAATATAAACAGATGAAAATATGTCCAGGTAAAAAAACCAGCAACTGTTTCTTCTTCATTCTGTTAAATGGAATCATAAGCTAACTGTCTTCCTTTAATAGAGGAGATTTTTCCTTCATGTAGATGAAACAAGAAGTGGCTGAGAGAACATGTGATTGCTTTAGTAATCTCATCTTCAAAGATCTATCTGTGATGTAGGCCTATTGAGATTGTGGACCTAGTATGTGTCACCACCTGTTAAGTTTAAGTGTGAGTTTAGTGAAACATCATAATATACAGTTGATAATAATAATAGCTTTATTTGAGAAGGGTAAAGGATTAGGCAGCAGAAGACTTTCTACCATCCTGATCTTCATGAAAAATATAATACAAAAGATGATAGCACAACAAATAAAAAGAGAAGGACGCACAATGGGTAAAAAATAAATAGGATAAAATTATAATACAAAAGATGACAGCACCAAAAAAGAGAGATATACATAAAACATACAAAATGTACGATTAATGTGACGACAATATGCACTCATTTTTTTACTTTAGTTTTGTTTTAAGTTAAATGGTGCACAGGTTAATGTACCACTGATTAAAATAAATTTAGATGATCAATGTTTTAATTGACTGGTTGTATTGGAGGTAGCACCATATGTCGTTCAGAGCCAGGACGATTAAGAAGTTGTGAGCCCTGTGAATCTGGTCTTGAAGCAGATGGTGGCCTGGGAGCATTTAATCTGGTTGAAGAACTCGATCTGTACCCTTCTTCTATTAGATCTAAAGGACGGATAATTGGCTCCACAGCTCTAGTTGTATCATCAGGAGAACGATCTACATGTAAATCTGTTGCAGAATCCAGGTCAGAGAGATTTGAAGATGTTATATTACTTTCACTAGAATCAGGAGAATCCATACGAGGTGGACCTTTTCTGACAGGAATATTATGAGCTGGAGCTGAGCATGCTCTTTGGCCTTCATCACCTAAACCAAGCTGACTTTCAACTGTCTGAGGAGCAGTTCTTGGACATTTTTCTAATAATTGTTCATACAATGGAGGAATATATCCCACAACAACATCTTTAGCTGCACTCTGCCTTCGTTTTAATGATTCTTCCTCTACAATTCCTCGACTGGCTGATGACTGTTGAGCCCGTATAGATTGTGTTTCACTGATACTAGGTCTAGACCATGATCTTGTTATTAGATTAGTCGTAGATGTAGTAGTAGGAGGTGGAAAGTGATCAATAGCTTCTAATCTAGATGATGTTTCACCTGCTACTTCTGTTGATGGAGATAAACTACTAATACCTAAATAATTCATCACCAACTGCCGTAATCTAATATAAGCCTCCTGTATATTTTCACTGTTTATCATCATATCAAAGAATCCAGGATGATTCTGATTATAATTACTATAAACGTCCCCTGTCTTAACCGAATCCAATATCTGATTCTCTGAATATATTCCTCTGTCTCTTAATCGTTTTTCATGAGCTTCTTTGTTCATTGGTACCATCAATACATAGCGGGGTTCAAAATGGGTATTTTTTAATGTCAGAACACCTTCAAGCTCCATGTGAACTACACAAGCCTGTCCTTCTCTAGCTACATTCTGTATCGACTCAATGGGTAAACCATACCAAGCTCCATTTATCTGATGAGTCTGTACAAATTTACCCAATTTAATATCATTTTCAAACTTTTCCAAAGTAGTGAAATGATAATCAACTCCATCGACTTCGCCACTGTATGGAATTCTGGTTGTATGAGATATCCCAAAGCCAAAGAAATCTGAAAATTCCTCAACCAGTTTTAATGCTAGATCTTTTTTCCCTGAACCTTGTGGACCAACAATCACTAACATAGGATAAGGAGTTTCTTTACTTGGTAATGTACTTTCCAAGATTCTTGCTGGTTGTAAGAACGAATAGACAACATGCATGGCATGATCTCTGGCAGCCACTACCTCTGGCGGGGGTTCAAACATGTTTTTTGAAGCTACCTTCTCTTCTACTTCTACTTTGTGTCGATCTAATTCAGTCAATGACTGTAGGCGAAACAAAATACATAATCTATAATTAGGTAGTTCTTCTATAGGGTTATGTTGTAAATTTAACTTCCGCATCATCCGTAAATTCTGCAAGTACTTTATCTCAATTAAATCAATAACTTCATTACTCTCTAAATCCACACTCTCTAATACATCATGTTCTTCTAAACCCTTTAGACTACGTACTTTATTACCAGACAAATCCAACACTCTCAGTGGTTTTAGAGATTCTATGTTTTCTATCTTCGTAATGTTATTGTGTGACAAGTTAAGATGCTGAATAGGTAACTCTGATAATCCTTGTATTTTTTCTATTTTATTATGAGATAAATTTAATTCGGTTAATCTTCTACATTGTGGTAATCCATCTATTTGTCTAATTTTGTTATAACTCAAGTTCAATTTCTTTAAAGAATGATGAGCTGATAAGTCAGTCATTACTTCTATTTCATTATAGGATAGATCCACTTCCTGTAAATTTTTGGGTGGCTCAAAATCCAACATAGTATTTAACAGATTATGAGATACATCCAATATTAGGAGATGAGGCAAGTTGCCCAAAACAGATAAATCTGTTAATTGGTTATGCGGCAGTTCAATCTTTTGTAAATGGGTGTACTCTTGCAGAATGTTGATGTCTATGAGCTGAAAACCTGGTACAGTGAGATGAAGATAAACTTGATGCATTCCATTTGCAGACCTCCCAAGATTAGATAAACCACGTCCTATTGTTTCTTCATCTAATATGCCACCGGGTGATAACTCAATATTTTCGATTTCGGGTTCTTCTTCAGTTTCACTGCCTAACATAAGGTCATTTTCTTCGGTTTCCATTATTCTTGGAGATTGCTCTTGGGTTAGCAGTGTAAGAATATCTACACTTGCTTGGTGGTTTTCTAATTCACCCCCTTCACTTGACATAACTGAGTTAACCTTTAAACTGGCATTGAGTACAGATTCATCTTTACCATTCGTAGCCATATTGGACGCGTTTCCAGGGTAATACAAGGGGAGATAATTAATGTATCGACTTCCTGGCGAATAGTCTTGTTCAACAAATCATTTGCTATCACACTGATCCGCAGTGAATATTCGCTTGGCCGACGGATGTCGCATTAGGTCTGTAAAACAGATTGATTTGCTATATGGCATACTCCCAGTGTTTCGTTTGGTGACATAATACAACTCTAATAGATTTCTCGGGCCATAGCTTCAGGAATATGTGAATTACTTACAGAAAATGAATTGTGGTCTGTTACCACAGACCAATTTGCCTCCCTTTGTCAATATTCAACGTCACGTGCAGTTACTAAAAATAGATGGAATACGGTGACGATTATTTCCGGAAATAGAAAATGTAAACATCATTAGACCTTCTCTTATTCCGTTTCGAAACAAACGAGTAATAAACAGGTATAACTTTGAGAAATTATCCAGTAGACGATAACCTGGAACCAACAGAAGTTCTTATTTATTTTGTCAGTTGTGTGAATGTACTCTTTCCATTGTACTTGTAGTACGGAAAGAATGCTTAATATGTAACAGTAACAGGCATTGCCTGAGTAGAGCGAAGCTGATTATTGTCAAATATAAACCCTTCATAATTAATTTTCTCAATTGTAGGGTGACCTGTGCACTTTACAGAAAGTTGGTCTCGACACGGATAAATGTGCACGCTTCAGTTGCGTGTCTCGAACTGATTTCTGACTACCCCGCACTCGCTTTGAGTCGATAAATAGCCATGGCACGTGCAATTCTCTACAAATATATCAACTATTACAGCCGTAAAAAATCTATTGTTGACGATTTTGAATAGCAGTAAAATTTAGCTCCTTGGTTATTACAGCAGCTTTAGTAATTACGTTTGTTTTATTTTTTAAATTGCTTTATCATTAACTGTACCGTTAAGAGCGGCATCTTTTAATTTAGTACAAATACTATCTCTGAATCACTTTCTTTAGCAGGAACATGATACTAGCAGTAGTTTCATTTTACTTTTACAAGTTTCTTAAAACAATTGTTGAGTTGTCTAAAGTGCTTATTTCTAAATTCAATTTCTTGTTCTAGCTTTCTGTTATGTTTCGTAAAAAAGTAGTCTTGATTATCCCGACCTGTCAATCAGACGTAGAATGGTCGATAGACTGGTTAAGCGAGACTAATGTCAAAACAAGGGCACGTAACCTATCTTTTACTCAAAAGTGTCTGGATGTTATGGACGCAACTTGGAACCAGTTTTCAGTCTATTATTTATAGATGATTAATGGTCATAGCTTATTAAGTACAACATGATCGTTTATTTAGAGACTATAATTGTGTGAAACTGATTTGAGGCTTGGCATATATATAAATATTGTGGCGTAATTGTCGAGATATTTGGAGATATTTATTTATGGTGGGTCACCCTATCAATTGATACAAAAAATGTTAAATAATTTAGTTTTTCCAAATTGATTTTCATTTAGATCTAAATTGTATACATAAATTTTGTTTTTTAAAAAAGAACAAAAAAGTGTGAGAATTATTTTCATTGACGTCAAAAATATGTGACGTCATTGATTAGACGCGTCATAGAAATAGTTCTATGAGGCGCGTAATCTCGCTTGGGCGAGATTTGGTAAGTTGACATTACCTGTTTTGCCCAGTGTATCCGGTTCCAGTCTGAATTTTTTTTTAATCAACAGTCTGTGGGTGACAATTTCAGTTACGCTCCTGTGTTACCGGAAAAGAGCTTTGCTGTCGCCCCCGTCCGTCCATCGTCCACAATTTCTTGTGAACACTCTACAGACTACATTTATCAACCGATTGTTTTGAAATTGATATATGTTGTTTGTATAAGTGAGATGAAGAATCCTATTTAATTTCAATAACTTCTGTTAATTTCTTCTGGAGTTATGGCCCTTGTTTCACTTTGTTGCACCTTGTGAACGCTCTAACGACAAAAGTTATCAACCGATCTGTATGAAATATATATGCATCATTTAAATTAGTAAAACAAAGAAGCCTATTGAATTTCGGCAATTTCCGTTAATTACATCTAGAGTTATGGCCCTTGTTTTACTTTGTTGAATCTTGTGAATGCTCTAATGACAAAAGTTATCAACCGATCTGTATGAAATTGATATGCATCATTTAAATTAGTGAAATGAAGAAGCCTATTGAATTTCAGCAATTTACGTTAATTTCTTCTCGAGTTATGGCCCTTGTTTCACTTTGTTGCACCTTGTGAACGCTCTAACGACAAAAGTTATCAACTGATCTGTATGAAATTTATATGCATCTTTTAAATTAGTAAAACAAAGAAGCCTATTGAATTTCAGCCATTTCCGTTAATTACATCTAGAGTTATGGCCCTTGTTTCACTATGTTGAATCTTGTGAACGCTCTAATGACAACAGTTATCATCTGATCTGTTTGAAATTGATATGCATCATTTAAATTAGTGAAATGAAGAAGCCTATTGAATTTCAGCAATTTCCGTTAATTTCTTCTGGAGTTATGGCCCTTGTTTTACTTTGTTGCACCTTGTGAAGGCTCTAATGACAAAAGTTATCAACCGATCTGTATGAAATATATATGCATCATTTAAATTAGTAAAACAAAAAAGCCTTTTGAATTTCAGCAATTTCCGTTAATTACATCTAGAGTTATGGCCCTTGTTTCACTTTGTTGAATATTGTGAACGCTCTAATGACAACAGTTATCATCCGATCTGTTTGAAATTGATATGCATCATTTAAATTAGTGAATTGAATTTCAGCAATTTCCAATAATTTCTTCTGGAGTTATGGCCCTTGTTTTACTTTGTTGCACCTTGTGAACGCTCTAACGACAAAAGTTATTATCCGATCTGTATGAAATTTATATGTATCATTTAAATTAGTAAAATGAACAAGCCTATTGAGTTTCAGTTATCACCCAAATTAGTGAAATGAAGACGAACAAGCCTATTGAATGTCAGCAATTTCCATCAATTACGTCTAGAGTTATGGCCCTTGATTTACTTTGTTGAACTTTGTGAACTTTCGAACAACAAAAGTTATCATCCGATCTGTATGAAATTCATATGCATTATTTGAATTATTAAAACGAAAAAAGCCTTTCGAATTTGAACAATTTCTGTAGATTGCTTCCCGAGTTACGGCCCTTGTTTTAGATTTTAGAACCTTGTGAACCTTCAAACAACGGAAATTATAATGTCATCTGTATGAAATTGTCTATTAAATTCCCCTAATTACCTACAAAAGAATAAATATGTGACAACCCTTGTTGACTGCACGGACGATTTAGCTGCTGTGGGCGTATGTTTTGTTGCCTGGCAACCTATCTTATCTTTATTTTGTTGCTTTTTATTTTGTTGACAATTTTTCATATCCATTATCTGTTGCATTGTTTCTGTTAGATCTACATGTAAATCAAATTTAGTTGTTAAAGGAGCTATAAATCGATATACTTTGGCACTTAGAAATGTACACAAATGCTTCGAAACGCATAGGCCTATAAATAATATTATGAATTTATATATGTTGAGTGCAGATTACCCTCCTCGGACAGATTACTCCCGCGCATGCGCAAATCTCCATCTAATTTCCGATAAGTAATCTGCGTGCACGAAGTGAACTTTGTCCGGACTAAAATGGATTACCGCGATGATAATCCGCCTAATCTTACTCGGTATTCACTATGGATCAGTGCGTTAGTATTAGTCATTTTAATGATTACATTTTAATGAATTTTGTGACCGTCGAGCAAATCGGAGCAAATCGATACGGAAAGAAAAGTATCACCGCATTTGACTACCAGAAAAGAGGAAGTAGTAGAAGGGCTTTTGAGTTATAAAGCAGTTTCCGTCGAGAGGTCTACATGACATACTTTGTGAACCTACATACGGGTCTCTAAGACTTCGTTACTAAAGTAAATACTATCGGTCAAACTATTATTACACTACAGCAAATATTTTTGACATTCAGTCACATGGTCAGCACCAATTATGAGATACTGCTGACTAGAATTAAAACCTTATTTTCTAAGCACACATGATAATTATGCAGTGATTTTGAAAATTATTTCACTACAAAGACCACAGGAGGCAGGTCATATATACATGTAATATAATATATAGTTGCGTCTGACACACTACAATATCTCTAAAAACATCATGGGGTAAACATGCGCAAAGTTGGCAATCTGCGCGCCAGCTTCATAAGCACAGATTGCAATCTGCGCGCAGGGTCCAATCTGCGCGCACGGAGTACAATCTGCGCAGGATGACAGCGCAGATTGCAATCTGCGCGAGGGGTGAAGATTGCGCCTAACATATACAGTGATTTACATTCAATCGCTTCTGTTTTAACTGTAATTTCTAATCAGTTATGATCGGTGAAATACGCGATTGAATGGCAGCCTTTGGCATCTGGTCATTCCCGTCTACACCGGTAGTTTTCTCCAATGAATGAATGTATGAAATGGGGTTTAACGTCTTACTGTTTTGCACCAACTGGGCTAATGAAGGCGGGTATTCTCCAATGCCGTCTATAATAGACGTCATAGGTATTCTCCTTTGGGCTATGGTTAACCTCGTTCGTCGCGTCGCTTCGTTACAAATGGTGTACGCAAGCATTCAAATACCTGGCTTCATTGGTGAAATTTTATTTAGTGTGCTGTTCAAAATTTCGCTACACACTTAAGAAGATCTCATGGCACACTGGTTGAGAATCACTGCTTTAAAGAGATGTATAGTTCAATTAAACTCACACTTTAAACCCTGGGTTCCCAACCTCTGGGTCTGGGGTCATGGAGCACTTTTTGTAGGGTTGAAACTTTTGAAAATATGCTATGTTTTCATGAAAAGCATAAAAATCTCTGATCTATACACCTCTTGCCATATTGCCAATTGTCTTTCCTCTCTCATGCTCTCGATTTGTTTCTTCAGTCTCTCATTACAACATTTTGGTCTGTAAATAATAATGATGTTTCATTATAAAAGGTGAATTTGTTCTCCAGGTGGTCGCAATCAGATAATGGATTCTAGAATGGGGTCACAATCAACAAAAGGGGAACCACTGCCTTAAACAGATCTTTTCACCTTTGTTTTAATACACAGAGTAGCCTAACTTTCATTACCAGTACTTCATGTTTTGTGTTCTATTTCAGATGTTTGTGGATTTTCTAAGGTAATATGGATCAACCAGACTCATTAGAAGGTTGGGTAGCCGTTAAAAACAACCCTTTTGTTGATGACCTGTTGCCTCCACGTATGACATTTCTAGTAGCATGGAATCAATCAGATGGTAAAATAGCTGTCACATGCCGACTGACTTCTCGAACTTGCACTGATTCTCAAGATGACAATACAAAGAGTGGTTATTTTAGTATTCAGGAATTAATGGGAATACATGAAATGCTGTGTCTTATTCATCCTTCTTTATCTTTGTATCTTCCATCACTGCCCGAGCAACCGAAGGGTCTCATGGCGTATATTAGTAGTATTCCTGTTCCGGAGGATGTTGATAGCTTATGTGATGAATTAAGCAACTACTTCAAGATTGCACTTGAAATTTGTAAAGAAAAATTACTTATATCCACTCTGTTTGAGGAACCAAACTTTGATGACTATTTTGAAAATATCGGGGAACTTCGAAGAGAGGGTTACTTGGAGCAGCTAAGAAATTTGGAAGAAGAAATGTTAAACATTATATTCGAGAGAGACAATTGTGTAACTATGCAAGATTTAGAAGATGTGTATTCTGTGGAGGATGATATAGTCTTTAGATTTAACATAGCACTAGCTGAATATTATAATTATCAAATACAACCCTTTCTAGATGTCCGAGAAGTAGCTTTCAATAAACTCAAACAGGCCAAAAATAATTTATCAGATCGTCGCTTAGGTGACAGGATACACAAAGAAAGTGCTGAAATTATTTCCGAGTGGAATGGACATTATGAACAAGCTCTTGATTCCATACAAGAATTTTACATCAAATACTACACACACACAAGTCAAATGTATTCAGGTAAAATATTTATAAACAGGGTCCGAGTTCACAAAGCATTCTCAGACTAAAGTTAAGAATTTACTCAAAATTGTTCTCCTTATTTTAACTAAAATATAGCCAATTAAAGACACTTATATGGGTATACTACTTCTGAATTTATTTACATGCTACGTTTCGATAAACATACACATATGTTAATAAATTAACATGCAACATTAATTCAGAAGTAGTATACCCATATAAGTGTCTTAAATTTGTGAAATCTACCTCTATATATCTTATAACTATTATATAAAAAAAAGCCCTTTATAAAACTTTTGTTGATTTAATATATCAAAAACATTGATAAGAAACTATGTGCAAAGTTTTTTGCTTCTGGATCAAAGATATTTCACATAAACAGTGTTTGAAAGTTGAGTAGATGCTGATCATGAACTTAATTCTGAGAATGCTTTGTGAACTCAGGGCCAGAATCTGTGCACAAATTACAATACATGTATAATTCATGATCTGAAACACCTCAGTACAGTACAGCAAAAACAGGATCAGCATTACCAATATACTCATAGTACCTCATTGCCTAGAAAACATTGTAACAAACAAGGGTGCATTCCAGGTTATTCCCACATCACACATCTGACACAGGATCACAGGCTGCCAGCTTCCTGTAGTGTTGCTTAGATCTGTGGGGGGGTCTACATAGATTCATCAGTGCTGACACTGTAGGTCCTGACTCCGCTATGCCTGACTACATACCAGATGAACGTGAGTTGGACCAATTCTGAAGCAATGTACGGCGTACATATTTTTTACTGTAAAGTTTTTATGGCCTCCATGATTTCTTATTGATTTTCATGTGTAGGTAAATGTCTGATCTACAGTTTTGCCAAAAATCACATATCAGCTGCATCATGTCTCACCAGCACTTCTACTTCTAGTCAAATCATTGGTGTGTTTTCATTGTCCCTCAGTATAGCAATACACAGAATAAAAAATTTAAAGACGCCATTATGCTTAGGCTGTGCTAAACATACGTGGAATGCACCCTGGCAGCATGATAGTTGACCATTAATGTATAATATATTAAGGTCACACTACGACACTGTAGTTAGTGAACTCCAGCTTCAGCATATAGTGAACCAATGAGTTATAAAATTTGGTGGATAAATTATGAAGTTACACTTACATGTACGATTTTAGAGATGGATTAGATAAATAATAAAAATGAATATGTTGAAAAATTCATTAAAATTACTTTATTCTGTATTTGAAGTTTTGACAATATCTGCTGTAGATTGTTTATTATCATACATGTGGCAGTGGAAACGGTAATTGACAATCATGCTCTAATCTACTTAAAATTTGAGTCTTCCAATGGCCAAACGGTTGATTATGGACTTGTCATGTTAAATGATTAAATAATAGCATTTGATGCCAGAGAAAAGACCTGCAATTTGGCAGATTTAGCTCTTGCATAATGCATCTTTAATTTACTTTAAGAAAAAAAGTAGATATCAATAAATGTTTTTGAATTACATACTGGCTACATGTAAGTATTAATGTTGTTCATCTTTTCAGATATGTGTAAGCGAATGAATGAAGATAAGGCTAAGTTTGGAAGGAAAGCTTTTGAAATTGTTGGATCTGACAGATTATTTAGGTTGGTTGATATCAAATGGTCATTTGATGATAATTACTACTGATTAAATTTCAAGGCAGATCCAAAACTTTTCAGCTTGAATGAGATATAATACTCAATGTTTTAGGTTGAATTCGATACAGTACTCAATGTTTCGTGTATTCATAGTTAGTGCAGGTCTGCAGGAGGACCACATCACACACAAAAAAACCCCATAAGACATAAGTTTAGGGTGGCATGTTAATGCATGCATCTAGAATCTTTTTGAAAGTTGATTCTAGTAGCTATTAGCTATCTATGTATCAAAATTAGTGGAACATTCCATTTAATCAATTTTGCATAGTTTGGATTAAAAAATTTTTCCCCTGTTTTGTAGAATTGAAGAGAATAAGAGTCTAGAGAAACTACAGTTATTCTATAATAGAAAGAAATTATGTATTCAGGAAAGAGATAAAGTCAAACAAGAGGTAATTATTTAATGGACTACATGAAACTGTGAAAGGCGCCTCAAATCAGAAAGTGAACCATCCGTATCAGGCATGGAATCCATATCTTTGATATTGTCTAAGATAAATGCACAGTTGTTGGTCACAGTTTTGCTTTTCACTCAAAAGTTATAATATCAGTTCCATCATAAATTGAGGGTAGCCCGTTAACTTTTCAAAATTTTTGCAAAATAAGGACCACCCTAATGTACGTCTTTGAAAGTTATTCTTCATTTTTTTTTTTAACAGATTGCAAGTTTACCAGATACACCAAGAGTGAGAAAAGATATGGAAAAGTTAGAAGAACGTGTCTATCATTGTCAAATCCGAATTTATCAAGAACATCTTAACATTTTATCTGAAGAAGAAAATTTGGCAAAGACTAATTTAAACAATCGTCTTCGTATAATAAATGGTAAGATGGTGAAAGAATAAAGTAGCAATGATTGTGTTTTGAAAAGTTTCCCACTGAGCTGTTTGAATACCTCTACATGTATTTTTATATGCCAGTATTTCAAGTGGAAGCACTTTGTCTTCGGTCCACATTTCATTTTTTCATTTTCCGAATTGCTAGAATTTTTCTGCTAGGCATCCAATAGGAAATTCACAGATGAGCTTTAAATGTACACAGAATTATTCCCTTTGTTCAAAAGATGGTGGTACATGTAGAAAGTTTTTCATTGCTTGGCAACCAGTATTATAATCCAAAAAGAAAAAAATTCCCAAGCAACAAACTTAACAAGATTGTGTGAAGTACAGGGTGACCCTAAAAAGACCACAAGCCATAAATTTTTTATTAAATCCTACAAAGGTCCAGCAAATTTTCTGAAATTTGCTGGACATAAACTTCAGTCTGTATACGATCATTCCCCAAAGTTTCAGTTATCTTGGTGGCTTTGTGGGATGGGTATTGTTTTGGGTCACCCTGTATAATACGATCATTCCCCAAAGTTTCAGTTATCTTGGTGGCTTTGTGGGATTTAAATGTTTTTTATGGGTTCTGGGTTTTGTTTTGGGTCACCCTGTATAATGGCTTAATCCATTACATACTGTTATAGGGATTCTTCCACCCTTCTACCACTTTCAGTGAAATGTTTATACGTCATTACCTTGGAACAATATTATAACACTTGTGTAACTTTTTAGAAAAGAATGAAGAAATTACATTTTATGATGCTGTTGAAAGTATGGACGAGTTGAGTGGAGATGATGATGAAGATGACTATATGGTTAATGATAAAACAGATCCAGAAATATTACAGTTCAAACGGCAACTAGCTGATATTAATCGTAGAAGAGCTATTCTAAGAAATAAAAAGGTAGAAAATCTGTTTTTGTTCAAACATTTAAGTCAATATATGAGGTCAATGTTGAGATATAATTGATACAGTGTTCGTATGTGGACACAGTAAGCCAAAAATGAAACTTAAATTTGTTGCTCATATAGAGCTCCTTTTCATGAGCCCCAAAAATTAGTTACTATAATATTTTCTCTATAAAAACTTGGTTGATATCATGGCTCACCTCGTCGGTCACCAAAGTCTCAATTTGCGATAAAAATATGAAAGTGGTGATAAATAATTAAGTCTGGTAATAATGTTTTGGAGTACTGACGATTCTTTGTGAAAACTGGTGGAAAAATCTTTAAATTCTAATCGTATATCTCTTAGATTGACCATTACATTAGGTGCCAGTCACAATCACATGGTGGCATACTATAAACTAATCAACTCGTTGATAATCTGGATCATGTCAATAAGTAATACTAACCAATTGACTTGGATTAATGATTAGTTGATTGATAATTGATAAGCGATGATTATTTGATGTTTCGCTTCGTCTTAAATAAAATTAGAAAAAGTCAAAATGGCTGACAATTGTTTTTGAGGGGAATTGAATATTTTTATAGTTGAATTCCGTTCACTGTGGCTTTATTAAAGTTGATATTTATTTGCAGTCAACATTAGAAAGACAGTGTAAACAAAAGGTACAGATCAAACAAGAGAACATCGAAAGACATAATCATCATCATTCTATACAAATTGTAAGTTTAAATAACTTTTTTGACAAGATTCATCTTTTAAGATAAATATTCCAATCTCTTGTAATTAAAATTATGTACAATCCCAGCACTTGCATACTAATAATGCTATGCATGTAAACTGCTATAGGTCAAAATGAAAAAGTTCTAAGTTTGTAACATTTATCTGAAGGGGATGTAAAATTGAACTTCCAAGTATATCTAGGGACCACTAAATAAAATGTAGATAAAAAGGTTACATATTTATTCATCCTAAACACGAGGGGGGGTTGGATGGCTGAATGGTTAGCGTGCGCGCGCTGTATCATAAAGTCTGTCATTGATTCGACTGGCGTGGTTTCGAATCCCCGGTTGTACGTGACAAGGAGTAGGGTCGCCTGTCCAACCTCGTGGGTTTTCTCCGGGTCCTCCGGTTTCCTCCCACTGCTAAAGACCCCTACGCGCAAGGGAATTATGTAAATAAAATTTAACCATATGTTAGTCCCGAAATTACCTAGTTTGTGTCGAGTGGACGTTAAACCCCATTTCTCTCTCTGTCCTAAACACAACAAATAGTAGTTCAATGTTTTAAAGCACACAACAACATAATTTATGTGAACATTATAACAACATAATTTATATGAACATTATAACAAAATAATTTAAATGAAAATTATAAAATACTTTTACCACATAGATCAGTACAGAAATATACAAATATCATTCTATACTTCTTTCTTTTTAAATACATACATGTCCACATTCTTTTCAAAATTCTTCAATTACCCACAATTGTATTGGCAATAATCTGTAGCACAGCGCTCAACCATTAGGAAACAGTTTAATGAAAATAAGGCAAAGTAAGAAAACTTAAATTAGGCCATACCCAGACAAAAAATATATTCTGGTTGTCAGACAATCCTTACAAAAAATCTGATGCAGGATGTTGATTTTTATACACCCACATTGAAATGTGGTTGTATATTTTCGTCACCCCCGTCCGTCCGTCCGTCCGGCATTGTGGACGCTCTAGAGGCTCAAGTTAATATCCGATTTACTTTAAATTTATACACAGTGTTTAAGGTCATGAGACGAAGAAGCCTATTGATTTTCAGCGATTTTCGATAATTACTGCCAGAGTTATGGCCCTTGATCACTTCAAAAAATCTTGTGGACGCTCTAGAGGCTTAAGTTAATATCCGATTGACTTTAAATTTATATACAGTGTTTAAGGCCATGAGACGAAGAAGCCTATTGATTTTCAGCGATTTCCAATAATTACTGTCAGAGTAATGGCCCTTGATCACTTCAAAAAATCTTGTGGATGCTCTAGAGGCTAAAGTTAATATCCGATTGACTTTAAATTTATACACAGTGTTTAAGGTCATGAGACGAAGAAGCCTATTGATTTTCAGCGATTTCCGATAATTACTTCCAGAGTTATGGCCCTTGATCACTTCAAAAAATCTTGTGGACGCTCTAGAGGCTAAAGTTAATATCTGATTTACTTTAAATTTATACACAGTGTTTAAGGTCATGAGACGAAGAAGCCTATTGATTTTCAACGATTTCTGATAATTACTGCCAGAGTTATGGCCCTTGATCACTTCAAAAAATCTTGTGGACGATCTAGAGGCTAAAGTTAATATCCGATTTACTTTAAATTTATACAGTGTTTAAGGTCATGAGACGAAGAAGCTTATTGATTTTCGGCGATTTCTGATAAGTACTGCCAGAGTTATGGCCCTTGATCACTTTGAAAAATCTTCTGACGCTCTAGAGGCTAAAGTTATCATCCGATTGACTGCAGAACTTTATAAAAACCAAACAAATTCTAATGGTTTTCTGATAATTACTTAATTAGTTGTTACTCTTTATCAGATTTTAATGTATTATAAATGTTTAATTACCGAAAAAAGTAAAAATATGCGACAACTCTTGTTGACTCCCCGGACGATTTAGCTGCTGTGGGCGTATGTTTCGTTGCCTGGCAACCTATCTTTATTTTTGTGTTTTAATTTTGTCAAAGGATCACCACAGGGCTAAATGACTTGTCATAAACATCACATTGGAAGGTACTACACATATTTCATCATGTGATTATCCAGTATCATTTATGATTGTCAGTATCATTTATTAGGGTTATGTACTTCATAAAACGTTTAGGTATGCTGGTTAATGAGACTGTTTTTATCTTTTATTTTTTAAAAATGAAAACAGATCATACAACCCGTTTATAGTGAATCAGGATTATCCGAGAACCTGATTTTCTTTTTATATATATATATATCCAAAATTATTAGCACAAATGCAAAGCTGCACTACTTTGTTTCACAGTAAATGATGAAAAGATAAAAAAAAGGTATGCCGACACAAACTGATTTCAACACTGGTTTAATAACATTTTAAAATTTTAAAGTACTTTCGTCCGTCTTGGGACTATTCATAAATAATGTCATTGTATAAAGATGGACAGTATAGTATATTTATACATATTTACATAGTAACACTGTGGTTTTAATTGGCTATAGTTACCATTGTCTATGGTTACATAGTATATCATTAACTAATAGTATATGGGTTCAATTTATGAACAATGAGTGGAAGATAATCATGGGATAGATTTAAGAAAATTTAAGTTTTAATTATCATGTGCTTACCTGCAGAAACGCAATAGAGATAAAGAAACGCTGGAAGCCAAGAAAGATTTTATTGTGGAAGAAAGAAAGAAAGCAATAGATCGTTTGAAATCTCATAAAGTGGTATGTTGAATTTATAGAAATAACTCAATATTGTATCCACCCTCGTGAATCATCTGTCTCCATTCACATATCTTTTGAGCATAGAGTTTGAGTCAGTTTTATTCGCCTGTCGTACGTACAAACCCCTATCCGTCATTTGTCTGTTGATATATTAAATTTTCGACTTTTTCTTCTAAAACACTTGGGTATGTGAATTGAGTGGTGCATATTCTAAGGGGCAGCAGAAGGGGAACCTTTAAAGGGTTCAAGTTGTAAAATAACAACCTATCAAAATACAGTTCCGAATCACAGAGTTATCTTCCTTGTATTCTTAAAGCTTGTGATTTTGATGTAGAACACAATATTATAACACTTTTTTAGCTATAGGTTATTTGTTTGAAAATTCATAATCCAGTAAGTTTTCTTACACATGAAAACTCAAAACATAACTTTGTCATTTCAGAAATATCCGGTTCCTGCAACTATAAAACCATTACGTTATCAACCTCCAAGTCAAAGAAAAGATTCTTTGACGTCACTCAGTAGATACAAGACACCATCCGTAGTAAGCAATCAAAAATATCCTTCACTTGCTCCCGTGAAAGAAAAGAAAACGCCAGCTCCACGTAAACCATTTGTTCGTCCACCGAAGAAGAAATTTGATAATGTGGATGGTGATGTAACATTTTATATAAGTGGAGGCACTGTTATGAATCAGACAAATAATGGAGAAAAGACATTAGAAAATGCAAAGCTAGATTCAATGGCCTCTTCATTTAATCCTTCTATGATAAATCCTCCCTCTCAAGCCCCACCCCCACCACCGACTCCACCACCACCACCACCACCACCACCCCCAGCAGTCCTGCCTCCACCTCCACCAGTTCCTTCTTTAACAGGTTTATCCAAACCACCAAATCTAGGAGTACAGTTCAATTTGGCAGAAGCAATGAAGAATTTGAAGAAACCCAGCTCTATTAATGAGAACTCTAGTAGTAACAATGGAGGATTGGATTTAAGTAGTATCGCATCTGGAAGAATGCATTTAAAACCTGCAAAGGAAAGAGTATTGAAACCTAAAATAGAAGGTAATCAAAATCTTTGGTTTTTATATGCCCACATTCCCCCTTCTTGTCCGTCCGTCATCCAGAATTGCTTATGGACGCTAAGTTTTCATTCAATTGACTCAATATATATACAGTATATGCAGTGTTTCTGTTCATGAGAGAAAAAGCCTATTAATTTTCTACGGTTTCCAAAAAAGTAGGATGAACTAGTCAAATTTGAATTACTTCTGGTAAATATTTTATGGGTTGTTGCCCTTTAACACTTTTATTCGTGTTCTGAAATGCTCCAATTATCTACAGAAGCCTTTATGGACTGCTCAGATGACTTTGCTGCCGGCGTATGTTTCGTTGTCTGGCAACCTATCTTTATAATATATCATAAAAATGCCACTGTTGCACGAGGCACAGATTAAACATATTCATTCAGAAATCTTAGTTTACAGCCCTTAATAACTTTGTACATACTCCTTTGTAACTTTACACACACTTCAGACAATTATATGAGGTAGTAGGTTAACAATTATCAGGTGGCTCGTTGGAATGGCATTTGTTACACTGCTCTATATTTAGATGGGTTTGGATCAGTTTCTATATGAGACTTAATTCACATTCAAATTAAATGTAGAAAAAAAAAATTAAAATAAAAATTTAATAAATAAAAATAACATTTGATTCAAATATTACATAAAGTTATACTAAGATTTTTATATTTTAAATTTGATGTAATAGAAGAAACTTTATTGCATAAAAAAATTACAAGGTTATGTGCATATACAAATAAAAATAATAGAAAGATACATGCAGTAAGCAAAGATACATATACATGTACATAATTATACAGATACACAAGACATGAACAAATTGTATACAAAAGCTCCCAAACATTCTAAAATGTCTACATTTTTATTGATCATCAGTATCTTAAATTGTTGAGAGCAACGGTTGCTAAGTGGGTAAGACACTGGCTCGCTAGCCCGGAGGTTGTATGTTCGATCCCTACATTGGTCGAGAAAGTTCGTTGGGATTTTCCTGCCTGGCTTCCATTTGTCAGTGGTGCCGGACGGAAGGACTGACAAGGACAGCTGTCCAGTCGTTCGGATGGTACCAAAGCCGACTGCCAGGGTATACCTTAGCGTGCACGTAAAAGATCCCTTGGCAGTAGGAATTCGATATAAGAGTAAGCCATGGTGCAGCTGCCTGGGCAAAATTTCTCTCATAGCACACTGTATGGCATATGTCCGTCTTCATTAGATGGACAGAACAAGCTAACAAAACGGCATTTTTTGTACAATCAGTGGTCATAATCCAGTAAGTTACGGTCTGAAGTATCAACATTAGGAACATAAAAACGAGACCCGGTCTGGTACATGCCAATATCCAAAGAAACCAAGATCTTTGGGAGATATGCCCATATTTCAAGTTCTATCAACATCGGATAACAATTGTGACCTGTTGAGTGTCCACAAACAAATTATGGCCAGACAAATGGACAGTGGCGACAGCATTGTACATCCACAAGAACATGTAGTCGTATAAAAATCAGGACCGGATGAAATGAGCCCTCTCAAATTAAAATAACAGCTCTGGTCTGGTGTCTGTGTTCTTCCTTGAATAAAAAGAATATGTTATGTATTGGGTTGGTTAGAATATTGGTTATATGACAGTCTCCATATGTAACAGTGTTAAGCTGTTATCTATCAACTTCAACTTAATCATTAAGTTAATTCATCATATTTAAAATGACAGTTTAAGAAATGTTACTTTAAATGAAATGAAATGAAATTTCAAATGAAATGCGCAATTTAAATTTTATCTAGTTAAGTATTTGCAAATTCTGTACAAAAATACACACTACTACAGTACATGTACTTTGTCTCTGATTTAAACATGCAAATCCTTATCCAATTAAACCAAATAATACATATGTTCTGTTTTCAGAAAGATTATAAATAGCTCACCTTTATTGAAAGATGTCAATTCTTTATTCTGGCATCCACTACCATTCTTTTTAATGATAAAACTTAGTTTTTTCAATAAATAAACAACTGATTCCCCAGAAATGATACCGATTATAATAAATGATGTCATTTAATACTGCCAATAGCAGGCAGGTTTATAGTTGTCAACATTTAAGGGTAATAATGCTATCAAGTCGGACATGTTGTTTAGATTAGCATACCAACCAATTAAATGTCAGTGAACTGGACACAACACAAACATCCAAAATTTAGCCCCTTTTCTGGAGCTGGTCTATACACTGCATATGGCATAATAATTCTTCAACATTTCATATATATTTTTTCAGATGGTAATATAATGGGAGAAATGTTTAATTTGATAAAGCAAGGTGTTAAACTACGCCCATTAAAAGCTTTAAATAATACAGATATTAACCCTTCATCATTACCACCTAATGACAGCCATTTACAATTATTACAAGAGAGTATGAGGAGAATTAACAAGATGACTCGTGGAAATTCTCCAGAATCTGAAGATGACGAAGATGAAAACAATTTTGATTTTGATGACTAAATACTATTTGATATAAATATACTCAGAAGTTTTATTGAAGCAATATAATATACTATCACATTTGAAAATAGTGTATATTAATAAGACTAAATAATTATGTTAAATTATGTAATAATTAGCTTGTCTTTAGATGTCAAAAACAATGAATAGTACAAGATTGGACAACAGATAATAGAGCAAAAACTCACAGCGTTCTGGGCTCTTATTCACGAAAACTTAAACTAAGAAATACTGCAATTCGATTGGCTGACCAGTAAAATCAATTTGCATATATCCAATGAAGTTGCAGTATTTCTTAAAATTTCGGTTGTAACTTAGTTTAAGTTTTCGTGAATAAGGGCCCTGAATATTAATTTTGTTTATACAAATTTTAAATGACATTAGTTTATATACAGAATGAAATTTGATATTAATATTTATGTTAATAGCTCCATCACTATGGTTGTCACACCATTAGACATACTGAGGAATTTCTATTGTAAATTTTTTTTTTTTTTTTTACTATGTTTGCAATATAAATTTTTTTTTATTTTTTACTATGTTTGCAATATATCTAAGTAAATTATGTTAATTAATTTATAGATAATACTTATGTATATTATGTTATGTCACTGATTTATAGGTTGTGCCAATTTAAATACATCATTTGAGATATAATTAATTTATTTTAACCTGTATAAAATTGATATTTAACAAAATGCTGATGATAAAAAAAGTTTATTAAGTTACTTTTTTTTAATGTTATATCAGAATTAATAAAGAATTTGATTGTTTTTCAAAATTGACATCCTCATTCCAGTTCATTTTATCATTATAATTTAGTGTGTGGTATCCCTGTCAATGATTTTGAGAATCACTTGACTTCTGATTAAAACCAGTTACATTAATCTCCATCCTATTCTGAAGGAATGTGTCACCATTGGGTTTAACGTCCACTCGACACAAACTAGGTCATTTCGGGACTAACATATGGTTCAATTTTATTTCCATAATTCGCTTGCGCGTAGGGGTCTTTAACAGTGGGCGGAAACCAGAGGACCCGGAGAAAACCCACGAGGTTGGACAGGCGACCCTACTCCTTGTCACGTACAACCGGGGAATTGAAACCCCTCCAGTTGACTCAATGACAGACCGTATGACACAGCACGCGTGCTAACCATTCTGCCATCCAACCCCCCTGTGCACTATTTAAAAAGAGGTTTAATATTTGACAGCAGGTCAACAAAGACTAATACTGGTGATCATTAACTGGAAGTAGGCCTACTGATTTACCAACTAAAATTTTGTTCAAGGTTAGATAGCCCATTTTTTGTGCAGATGGCTACAGGAATAGCTTGATTGAAGGGGCTAAAGGCTAAAACGTTTTCTGTGAAATTTATGGGTTTCATCTCCCACGTTTGCATAGTTGCCAGTCTAACCAGATATGTGTGCTCCCATATGACAAGACCCTATAATAAATTATACCATGGATTATATATGGACTATATTTGCAATGCCGTAGCAATTTCTTTAATACTGCCTGCTTGGCACCAAAAGAGAATGGATATACTCTGGTAATTTCCTGCTCAGGATAATCTTGAACCTCCTGCAGATGAAAGGGTTACCTCATAAGGATCGTTTTACATCAACATTCAATACTCTTAGTGCCAATTTCTCAATATATGGCCATTTCTGGGGGACTTGACTCCTCGAAATAGTCTCAAACCCCATGCAGGTGAAAATATTAACCTAGAAAGGAAACCAGAAGATTGCAGGAAAAATGGGTGGGGGGGGAACACAATATATAACAATTCATTGTTGGCATAAAAAATGGGAAATATTTGCCACTAAGGACTTGATAATCCTGCATAAAGAGGCAAATTCCATTCAAATCAGTAACCAAGAACAATAAATTGAAATATTGTTTATTTTTCCATATTACTTAAAGTAGCTAAGTCAATATCCAAAACATTACACGTTGAAAATACGAATTATTTGTTAATTCAAAACATTGATGTTGTGAGCTTTCCATGAAAAGGTAGGCTTCTGATATCTAATATTTAAGAAAAAAATAAACATTTTACAAGTGGTACACGAATCGTGTACCATAGTGCGTTTTAGTGTCATTTGCAACAAGTGACTAGAAAGAACAAGGCTATACATATTCAACAGCTCATGTCAAACGGTGACGCCATATCTTATCTGAAGAGCTTGAGCAATAGACTAGAATAACCAGACGCTAGATATTGCTATTCGGTTTAGACTCTTGCCGTATTTCGCTGGACATAACTGATTTGAAATTAGAGACAAAACGGAAACAATTGAATGTAAATCAGTTTATATACAATCAGATTACTTTATTATATGCGTTGATACACATTTGGGTCAATTTCTAGGTCCCAAATATTAGCGATTTAGCTCCTTTAAGGGTTGGTTAGAAATTTCAATTTACAGTCTTACTTTTCCCGTTTTGGCTTTTAATGTTTATTTTGAGTTCATTATTCAGCAGCATGAACAAACAATCGTGTAGATATTGACTTTGTTCATATAACCGTCGTCTTTTTCTAAATGGGTTTGTTATATAAAATATAACTAGCCCCTGCAGAGACAATTCTTTATGTTGGATTTTAGTCTCATAACTATAATATGTATTTAAAGAAAATACAATATACATTTAATGATCATGACTATCTTAAAAGTATCACAATTCTTTACTTGGCATTAGCCTATGTCATACAGTTAGTTATAAGCTTATTGAACATTGTACAGATTCTCATGTCATCTCTCTGGTTCACAATCTGCAATCATCCCCAACATGGCTTACCATACCTATAAATAGAAAGTCATTAATCATTTAGTATCCAATCAAATATCCAATATTTATTATTTCACAAACGTCTTTGAAATCGGATCAAACATCGGATAACACTCGAAATAAAATCTGATTTTAACATACATGTACAATATATCTTTTTAAGTGAGCGATGAAATATATTTAAATAAATCTGTTGTCTAGTAACTGTACAATGTACATACCTTATATTTTTAAATCTAAGACATAATTTATATCTTGTTCAAGCATCATTCCCGGTCTTATTTCTGTAATAAATGGAAATATTAACCTTTAAACAGAAGAAATAAATATCATTCTTTGATGTTTCCACCCTTGTGCAGTATCAATATATTACTTAATGTCCAGCTCTCGACCACTAAACCACACATATTGTATAATTTTATTTAAAAAAATCGCTGTGGCATGAGGGTCTTTAGGAAGGCAACCCAACTCCTTTCTATACAAAAATGTGGGATCGAAAATCATATAATTTGACTTAATGACAAATGTTATGATCTAAAGAGCAGGTGTCAGTCCATTCGGCCACCAAATCCCACTCGATGACTGATATATACTCATTGGATGACATCAGTAGAAAACTTATTAAATAAGTCATCACAAGTGGCAAACTGGCTTTGAAAAAAAAAAATGTTTAATTCCCTCACTACAGGCAAAGAGAAACTTGGTGTTCAAAGCAATTCAATAATTTAAACTCTTTTTTCTGGAGGGTGAAGATGTGAATTACCTAAACGATCTATTGAAGTTACTTTTATGTCCAGAGATAACTGTCGTTCATTTAGCAACACCGCTATCAAAATGCCTGACAAACCAAAATAGCTTGGAGGAAACATAAGAAATCTGGCAGCATGGAAATGTGGCGAGAGTTTTTTAGTGCAGTTGTTGCCATGCAGGTAGGGGATCACGTGGCTAAGTGGGTAAGACGCTAGCCTGGAGGTCGGGTGTTCGATCCCTGCATTGGCCGAGAAAGTTCATCCAGATTTTCCGGCGTGGTTTCCCCTTGTCAGTGATGCAGGACGGAGGGCCTGACAAGGAAAGCTGTCTAGTCGTTCGGATGGGACGAAAAACCGAGGTCCCGTGTACACATTGGCGTGCACGTAAAAGATCCCTTGGCAGTTGGAATTCGATATAAGAGTAGGCCGTAGTGCCGCTGTCCGGGCAAAATTTCCCTCATAGCACACTGTATGGCGTATGCCCGTCTTCATTAGCCCAGGTTAGGAGCAGAACAGTAGGACGTTAAACCCCATTTCATTTCATTTCATTTCACGGCCTTGCTATTATATGCGCCACAAAACAGAGGCTAAAACGATATGATAACAAGTCAGTTCATTTCTGTCATGCAGGTAAAATAAACAAATTGTCAAAGACAAATCGAATTAACCTACCTTGGTGATCCTTCCATTTCACCCTGCACTAGGTTTATACAAAACCATGAAATGCATGCAGAGGAAGTACCATAACCATTTTTGATTAACAACCTAAGTAGAATAAAACAATATTTGTTAAAACATAGCACAAAATGATTTTCAAAGCTAAAAAAAAGTTCTAAAAAAGCAATATTGAAGAATCATTAATATTTAATTTTTCTTTGAATCAATAGGCACCAGGCCTGTGAAATTTAATTGCAATACAGAACAGTTTAATAATGTTATTTATAATTTAAAACAGAGCAAACTGACATGGAATAATCATTTAGAATAGGTTTCAAATACCAAATATGACCGACATCAAGAGAGAACAACCTGTTAGACCAAAAACCAAATTAAATTTTGGCTTTCATATCTGGGAATTTCTACTTCTCTTCTTAATATATGTGCGAGGATTCAATCTTCAGATAGTGACTTTTGGTAATCTCTTCTTCACAAAAAAACTAGTATTTAAGACCCACTCATAACCTTCTATGATTTATTGTATAAACACAAGGTTTCCTGGTGTGTTTTTTTTTTAAACAATGAAAGCCTGATTAGCATAGACATATTCGAACACCAAACAATTACTTCTTTACACATGTATTTATTTTATGGATCTCTGCATCAAGCATCAACGGCAATCAAAGAAAGGAAAAACAGTATATTGTGTTGTTCTTTCAATAAAAAAAAAAATAGTGCACAACATGGATTTGCTCGAAGTTACATTAATTAAACAACAAGAGCTTAGCTCATTCACCATTTCAAGTAAATAAAAAATAACCATACTTACAAATACAATATCCACACACAACTGTTATTATCATCTCAAATAAAAATTTGCACTTCCTTTCTCATAACCAACCCCTCAATAATGAATTAAAGGAAAAGCGCCCACAATTCTCCCAACCCCCATAAATGTCACATCTTCTTAAAACTTGTGTCATATAAATCAATTCATTGAAAAAGAGTCAAGTAAGTATTTTGAAAGGATTATCAAAAGCCAAATGCAGACACGACCCATCACAAAAATATTGAGGACTTGTTTAATGAAAATAATGATACAGGTACCCAAAATCAAACCGTTTACTCTGGATAAATAACTCAGATACATGTACAAGGCAGATGGTTGATTTCAAGACTTCATATGGAGACATCATTTCAGGATCAAAATAAAAAGAATTTCACATTCCATGTCAAAATATTTGTAGTAGAGCTTTAAACCCAGACAACATATCCAATGATAATGTTTGTATTACTGACAAAATAAAGCAAGCCTGAAAAAGAACTTATGAAAGTAATACATCTTTCAAGCATAACAAATATTACCCCCAAGTAACAATCATATTGAATTTGGCAACTTTGACAAAGGACACAATGCACAGAATGTATTGAATGAAAGACATTTCTACTTCCCTTTTCTTAGTACGCTGGTTACAGTACATTTCAAGGCTGCAAAACATCACCAATACAAACATTGGCAACAAATTCAATTTGACACAAAAACAATGAGCAGCTATAAATGAGTATTATTGATCATACAGCTAGGCTTCTTATTTATAAGAGACACATCCGTACACACCCAATTAAATATTTTGGTTCAACAGAAAAAAAAACGTCATTGGGTCCACCACAGTAAACATGCATAAGTTGTTCAATAAAAATGGCCTTCTGAGATCGACATTCTGAGAAAGACTTCTCAATTCATAATGTAACTGGCAAAATATTGGGTATCTAGAACATGACTTGACATTTCACCCTTTTTGTTGCAATATCAATGATTTCTATCAGAAATCACAAGATTTGAATTGTATTAGTCCACTAAATGGTAACCAAGGCCAGATTTGTTCCATCTTCTATCGAATGATTTTTAATATGTACATAAAAGTTCATAAAACCGTAAGCTAAATAAGCTTAAATATTCAGGTTGGATAATTGAATAGGTAGTCCATTTATTTATGTCTTAAAGGCTCAATACCACTCTTGTTGTAACTGAATAATATGTCCCAATCTTTTTTCTGGTCAACAAATTGTACTATTTAATAATATTTCAAAAATTTGAAAAATTCAACATAATGGTTTGAAACGTCTAACGTAAACCTTTTCAAATGAAACTTCGATTTAAAAATATTTTCGAACCCTCTGGACAAGTAAAATAGGATGTAATGGATAATTTACACAACAGGTAGGACACTTAAACATCTAGTACTTAGATAGAGATATTATTTATTTTCTGGAGCTTTCAAGCCAGCAAGAGTGTTATTGTTCCTTTAAAGACTGCGATTTTCTGTGAAGATAAAAACTCCATAACCATGGAAATGAGCTAGAACTATTTTCAACAATTCAGCATAAATTTTTGTTCCATGATAATTCATATGTGGCAAAGCATTCTGATACATATATCTGAAATGTAACCGAGACTGAACTCTCTTAACCCCGAGAAATTTTCTTTGACACTAAATACATGAGTATTTCCAAATAATCCATGAAAATGAAGAACCTACAATATCCAACTTCTGTCTTTGTTAGAGTAGAAGAAAAAAGACGTTATATAATTATATGTTTATTATAGACCTATGATATAACAACACACTACATAAATGAACGCTTTACATCAAATGTATGTCCAATTTTGATTGATCAAATGATAAAAAAAAAATATGAATCACTTAAAACTACATAACCAATTTTCACAGTAGCTTAGTTTACGATCGATGACATCAATATTTACTTAGTTTGTCACTAAACTAATTTAAAATCAGCACCTTGATAAATATGAGAAGTTTCTAAAAGTGAACTTGATGATTCCCGATTTTCTCCATTTAAAATCAAAGAGAAAAATCTTTAAAATTCAACCAGTATCATTGTCTGACAACTGTCCAGCTTTATAAAACTTTAATGTCCAATATAACCATCTAGTGACCACAACTAACCATCAACAAAAACTGATGAGTGTTGAAAAAGGTTACATACACATTGGTTTAGTGGCAAACAACTAGTGGCTTTCAGTTAACGGTACATTCGTACCGTTATCTCTCGTCCATCTATCTGTGTTTTATGCATCACATCTACACAAGGATTAAGAAAATTTAACTCAGACTTTTTTCGGGGTTTTCCCCCTAAATTCGATTATGTATTTAAAGAAGTCCTGTTAAATGAAATGGGGTTTTAACGTCCTACTGTTCTGCTCCTATACTGTGCTAATGAAGATGGGCATACACCATACTGTGTGCTATGGGGGGAAATTTTGTCCGGGCAGCGGCATTATGACCTACTATTACACTGAATTCCAACTGCCAAGAGATCTTTTAATTGCACGCCAATGTATACATGGTACGACTACGACTATGTCAGGGAAACCACGTCAGAAAATCCTGATGAACTTTCTCGGCCAATGCAGGGATCGAATAAGCCACCTCCAGGCTAGCAAGCCAGCATCTTACCTAATTGACCATCGTGGTTCCGAAAGTCCTGTTAAATAGGCCTACCAATAATACAATAAAAGTGTGGCTCCCCAACTCTACAGAGAAACATAATTCAATATTGCAGTTAATTAAGCACTTACATACGCCAAGTGAATTTTTAGTTTGTTCAAAATGTCTCAATTCATAAAAGGATACTGATAGCACGTTCTGCATCAGCTTGCGTAGCAAATCTAATTAAACCCATTCCTGTTGATCTTCCATTCTCCATTTTAATTTCAGCAAATCTTACTTCACCAACATCAGCAAATCTTTCTTTTAAAGCTTTCCATTGAGTAGAATATGGTAACTGAAATATATCAAGAAGGATTTTAATCTACCTTAAATTAATTACTTTTCCATAGTTGCCAGGCTATGAAACATATACGGCCACAGCAGAGAGTCCACAAGAATTTTCGGAGTGAGAAGAACCATACCTGTGGCAGTAAATCTGTATACTTCTTCGTCCGTGTAGAAATTTAAAGACAATTGAATGATAAACTTAGTCCCTGGAGAATCCACAAGCCACTGTGGGTGATGGACAAATGGGGGCAATGATAGTGGGTGTATAAAAACAAGTCTTAGTACACTAGTGTAATGTTTATGTTTGAAATAAGGCAATCATGATTAAAATAAGTGTAATGTATTGGCAGTGTAATAGAAACTAATAGTACTTACATTTTTAACTATGACAGTAGCATTGTCTGGTTTGGTAGTGAAACCTTTATCAGCTAAACTTCCCACAGATCTTTCTCTGTCATCACGTCGTCCACGATCTCTCTCACCATAATTATCCATACGACTTCTATTGTCCATCATACCCATACCACCTCTATCACCACCCATACCTACTCCCATATTACTGTATGAATCACCACCCATACCTGCAGATCCTAATCCCATACCACCTGATCCCATTCCCATGCCCATATTACCGCTACTCATACCCATGCTAGAATTGCGCCCTAACCCACCCATTCCACTCGATAACCCTGATCCTAATCCAACACCCATATTACCTAATCCGCCTAAATTATTATTAGGCATGCCACCACCCATACCCCCTCCCATTCCTGACATTCCACCACCCAAACTAGACATTCCACTTCCCATCCCTGAACCTAAGCCTCCTGACAACCCACCACCTAAAGCACTATCCATCCCTAATCCCATGTTGCCCATACTACCCATACCTCCTGCATCCATACCAAAATTACCACCCATATTCCCCATTCCTCCTCCCCCACCACCCATACTCCCCATACCCCCCATGTTACCCATTCCCCCTCCACCCATGGCATTATTTCCCATTCCACCTCCCATTGGACCACTGTTATAGCCTGAAAATAAAAATTCAAATGAATGAATTAAGCATGAATTGTTAAACAAATAAGTTGTAATTCAGCAAAGTGAAATTAATTTTTGGTACAAATAGGTTTGTTTTTAAACATCATACAAGTATATTTACATGGATAAGTTACTGGACTTGCTTTGAGAAATATTTCTGGTATTAACAGTTTTATTTAAACATCATACAAGTATATTTACATGGACTTACTTTGAGAAATATTTTGTAATGGAATACCTCCTGTACCCAAACCCATGCCAATGGATTTCAAACCAGCTAAAAACGAATAAAATTAATGTAAATTTAAATATTACAATCTATTGTTGATATCTGATGACAAAGAATAAACAATACAAAGTTTCTCAATAATAAACAGTAATGCACATCACAAGAGCGTTTAGAAATGACTTCAAAATGGCATGACCAACATTTTTTACTCAAACTACTTACAGGGTAATTTCGACTGTGGAGCTGATGCTCTTTCAGCATCAATATTATCAATTTTCACAGACATAACACGATCAAACAATGACTGACCATTAAACATAGCTAAATATATGTTAAGGTTCAATAAATATACAGCTATGACAGCCACTCAATACAAAATGCCATTTCGGGACTAACATGGTACAATTTTATTTTTCAATAAATAATGTGTGTAGCGGTGTTGAGCAGTGACCGGAAACCAGAGAAAACCCACATGGTTATGCATACGACCCTACTCCTTGCAATGCACAAGCTTGGGATCGATATACCACTTAACTTGACAGACCTTATAACCTACAGTGCACATTTTAAGACTCGACCGCACCCCTCATGCATTAATGAGCATTGTAGTTTAAGTAAAGCGACAGATTAGAACACTTGGTTAATCAAGTAATATTTTTAATAACATTGCTTGTTAAATCATATTAGTCAATAGTAGACAAGATTCTAAAGGATACAGACAGCTTGGACAGCTTCCATGGGATGTTCAAATAAAACTGTCCCCATTCCTCGACTTTTTCCGGTTTTATCAATTTTAATTTCTGCTTTTATAACTTTACCAGCCAATTTAAAAACATCCTTCAGTTTTTGCCAAGTTACTTTGTAATCAAGCTGAATAAAGACAAACAAGGCATTACTTTAATACTTTAGTTCTTGAGTATTTAGAAGTAGAATATCATAATTTAAGTATCAAAAAAATTATATCATATATGAAATACAAGTTAATTGAGAAACATGCATACTGTATTCATAATAACACAACTTTATGGATTTACTACTTCTTAGTTTATTACATGCAACGTTTCAATACTCTTACAGGTATCTTTATCAAGCAATGATCAATAATGAATAATAACCTTACATTTATAGTACATCCATGAGTAAAAACAATATAACAATCAAAACATAACATTAATTAAGATTTATAACAACAACTATATCCCTTTGAATATGACTTCACTATCTCTATTAAATATACAGATTAAATAGGGGACTGAAGCCACCAACTAATAAAATATAATCCTACAATCAATACGCCCTTATCTACACAATTAACTAGGTTGGTGTCTTTTAGCTTAGGTTGATTCTACTCTTCTCCTTCCTTATGATCACAATATAAACTAACCACTTATAACATGTATATGTCCCTTTGCATAATCTTACCCCATTCTAAACCATTTCACTTTTTACAAAAATAAAGTTATAGTTCCCCTGTTAATTCATAATTTTTTAGATCCCCCGATAAATAATCAATTAAAATTAACTTATTAAATAATAAATTAGGTTCTACTGATACAGAGTGACTCAAAGTTCCACTGATAATTATAATACAAGATCGCCTCATCATTTACTTCCCTAACATAATAACTCATTACATACATTTGAAATAGCTCTCCCATTGTCTTTATTCATTTTTGGTTTTTGTCTTCGGATTTCTAATGCTTCTGACAATACTCTTTTTTTTCATACACTAATATTTTTGGTCAGCACTTTAGTATTATCCCATTCTATATTGTGGGTAGGATTGTCTATTATATGTTCAGCTACTGCCGATTTGTTTGCTTCCATACGTCTTATGAATTAACAGGGGAACTATAACTTTATTTTTGTAAACTTTATTTTGTGTTATTATGAATATTGTACCTCTACTTCTAAATGTCATTCAAGGAACATGCATACTGTATACTTACATTAGCTACAAAAACAGATGGTGTGACAGGGCCTTCAATTCCTAATTGGTTCAGGATTTGGGGGCTTATTCCTGCATTTCCCCCTCCACCACCTACTCCCATCATATTGCCCATACCTGGGCCCATTCCTCCAGGGCCACCACCTCCCATATTACCCATACCTGGGCCACCTCCTCCCATTGGTGGTCCTCCCATATGTCCACCCATTGGTCCACCACCCATGGGGCCACCGCCCATGGGACCACCGGGGCCACCAGGACCACCTGGTCCACCTTGGTTCTGACCATACATTCTCTTATCGTTTTCTCGTTCCTGTACAAAATAAAGGAACATATTATTAAAATCAGTTAGTTCATGAATATCAGGGTAGCAACCTTGCAGAGCCCATATACAACAAGCTCCCCTTGATCAACAAATTTAAAAATCGCTCCCCTTGATCAACAAATTTAAAAATCGCTCCCCTAAAAAAGTTCTCCCAACTTCAATAAGAAGAGTGATATAGAAATTAAGGAGATGATCTGTTGACATTCAGGGGCGCGACCGACGCTTAAGAGCGATAGCTCTTCTTAAAAAGCAATGAAATGAAATGAAATGGAGCTTAACGTCCTACTTTTCTGCTCCTAACCTGGGCTAATGAAGACGGGCATACGCCATACAGTGTGCTATGAGGGAAATTTTGTCCGGACAGCGGCACTACGGCCTACTCTTATATCGAATTCCAACTGCCAAGGGATCTTTTACGTACACAATGTGTACACGGGACCTCGGTTTTTCGTCCCATCCGAACGACTAGACAGCTTTCCTTGTCAGCCCCTCCCCGTCCTGCATCACTGACAAGGGAGAACAACGCCGGAAAATCTGGATGAACTTTCTCGGCCAATGCAGGGATCAAACACCCGACCTCCAGGCTAGCGACTTAGCCACGTGATCCCCTTTAAAAAAAGAATGACTGCAGTAGGTAGGATCTGGATGATAAAGACAGAAATATCATTGTCAGGGTATTTCTATGTCATATTTGAAGTACAAAATACAAGCATGATTTATAAACATCACTGGGAACTAAATAATCTGTCTTAAAAACGGTCAAATCGGGTTAAGAAACTATAAGTTATTTCTAAATCGATACTTCAGCTTACAAACATCATTTGTTGTATCTATTAAAGGTTTGAAACAACAAACTAATCCAAACTCCTACCTCTCTAACTATAATAGCTCTACCCATCAACACATGTTTGTTCATTTTTTCAATGGCTTTCCTGGCAGTTTCACGATCTCTAAACTCTACCACACTGAAAAAAATAAATAAATGTCAACATACATCAAAGAAATGGGGTTTTAATGTTCTGCTCCGATTGGGCTAATGAAGACGGCATATGCCATACAGTGTGATATAGGGAAATTTTGCCTGGGCAGCAGTGCTATGGCCTACTTTTATATCGAATTCCAACTGCCAAGGGATCTTTTATGTGCATGTATACACAGAACTTCAGTTTTTCATCCCATCCAAACCACTAGACAGCTGTCCTTGTCAAGCCATCCATAATGCACCGAGAAGGGGAAACCACGTCGGAAAATCCTTTCTCGGCCAATGCAGGGATCGAACACCTGGCTTCCAGGCTAGCAAGCCAGCACCTTACCCGCTTAGCCACTGTGACTCCCCAACATACATAAGAAACCTATGTAATTGATTCCATTTTCAGCAGCTCCCGAGACTGAGTGGGAGCTACTTAGGAAAATCCATGTAGATTTAATCTGGTTCTCCAATTAGAAAACAAAAGGCACTGTAAAAGGGGTTTTAAGATATAAATTATATAATGAATTATATAACAAAATTTTACTCACCCCATACCATTGGGTCTACCGTCATTGCCCTTAAAAAGTTCTACATATACCACATAGCCAACTGAAGAAAAAAATTGACCATCCATGTAATTTTTGGAGAAACATCAAAAGAAGTTTGTTTTTTGGGATTTGTTTTCGCAAAGTTTAAAAGAATACTGACATTTTAAAATAAACACTGTGTGTAAAAGTAATGCTTAACTTTTCATCTAATCCAATCTGGCGACCTGATGCATAGTTCAGTCTGTAGGCTTACCGGTGCTGTGATTTCATTTTGAAGATAAAGTATACCATAATGAAACTAAAGAAAAGCTTTTGTGCAGAAATTTACACCATGGCATAGAGTACCTGATAAAATTACAGGGAGCTGTTAGTAGGGTTGTCCTTTCATTTTTGAAGGAATAATTCTTACAGATTATTGTAATCTGCAACATTTTTATACTTTGCCTTTCTCTCTATAAATAGGCTACCTTTCCCTTGCGTATTTCACAATTAAATATCCAATGTGTTGTGTTGTCCAGCTAGGTTATTGATCTATGACCTATGCTTCTTTATCTCATGAACAAATTATGGTGCACATAATAAAAAAAAATATTAATAATATGTCCATTTAAAAAGCGTTAAAAATCCCTAAAACATGCAATTAGAAATCTATCGACAATAAAATTATTTTAATATCATTTTAAGTGCATTGGATGTCATCTCTTTGAATGCGCTGTTGTCTTGGATCATCTAACCTTAGGCTACTCTGTCCTGTCACAGTAACCATTCAAATGAAAGACAAAATAAACAAAACAATTTAATTTCTACCTTCTTTTCTGAATAAGTCTTTCAGTTCTTGCCAGGGAGTTTCATACGGAATATTTCTAATAATAACTTTATTTGATGTAACATTACTGACAATACGTCTTCGGCCATCATTTGCAGGAGATTTGGATCTGGATCTTTCTCTTCTAACTGGAGATCTAGATCTGGATCTGAAAATTGAAATAACACCATAATCTACATGTTGATAAAACCAATTTTGTCAACTTTAAAAGTGATTCAGGTGAGTTTAGAACAGCTTGACATGTAGGGGGAGCCACGGCTTGCTTGTCTGGAGGTCGGGTGTTCGATCCCTGCATTCATCAGGATTTTCTGATGTGGTCTTCTCTTGTCTGTGGTGTAGGACAGGTCCTGACAAGGACAGCTGTCTAGCCATTTGGATGGGATAAAAAACTGTGGTTCTGTGTATATATTAGCATGCACGTATAAGATCCCTTGGCAGTTGAAATTCGATATAAGAGTAGGCCATAGTGCTGCTGCCCGGGCAAAATTTTCCTCATAGCACACTGTATGGCGTATGCCCGTCTTCATTAGCCCAGTCAGAGCAGAACAGTAGGATGTTAAACCCCATTTCATTTCATTTTTGACATGTAGGCTATACTAGCATTTACCAAAAATTGTATTATATTTAGGCCCACTTCCTCTTCCAGTGGCTTTAAGAAACGTACGAAAAACTTGTGCAATCCTGGTCTGACAGTTTGTTGATACATATATGTAAATTGTAATAACTTTTTACTATATTGGGTTGATATTTTGTAGTGAACTTTTGAAATGTCCTGACTATGGCTATGGAGCTATTTGATAATCCTCAACACAGTTATTATACATAAAGGAGAGAGAGAAATGGGGATTAACTCCATTTGACACAAACTAGGTCAGTTCGGGACTAACACATGGTTCAATTTTACTTCTTTAGCAGTGGGAGGAAACTGGAGGACCCGGAGAAAAAATAATTTAAAGGAGATGAGTCGCTAACTCAATATAATCTGTAGTCTTCGCTTGCAAATACTACATATTAGTCAATTTAAATCAACATTGATGTTATCTTACTTTGAAAAGATGGGCTTCTGATCCAATATATAAAAGACACAATGAAAAATTTAAAATTGAAGCGACTCAATGAATGAGGATAAACCAATCCCACAGGAGAAACTACTGGTATAGACTGGAAAACCAGATGCCATACCTGGCATTCAATTTGGACTCTTCACATATTTTGCTGAATATAACTGATTAGAAATTACATTTACAGTAAAAACTTAAACAGAAACAATTAAAATATAAATCAGTTTATATTATTTATATACAATACACGACGATTCATATTACATGTGTTGCGACCCATTTGTGTCCATTTCTAGCTGCCTAAGAATAGAGATTTCACTACTTTAAGGGACCTACTGATCCAAATGTAGCTTGGCCCAATTTTATAATTCACTTGGCTTGTTGTGGTGTTTATTGCAACATGCCAAGTGAAAGAGTTTAGGTATTTGTTTTTAAATGTTTTGTTAACCTAATCCTCGATAAATTGTGATTTATAAACATTTTGGCTTGGATAAACGGCATGAGCATTTACCTATACAAACGCAAATAAAAACTTCTAAATATGCTATTATCTTCCTGATATTTTATCTAGTATCTGGGCCAAATCGAAAAGGGTCTTTTGTCTTTAGAGGGACGCCATTTTGGGTTTTATTAATGTTGAATCGAACAAGCGGGACGCGTCAGTTTGGTGGAACGATATTTCATTAAAATCAATACTAATTACAATATATTTATTTTAATGGCATATAAAAACTATGGAACTTTACCTTTCTCGTTTACTACTGTGATGGTTATTTCTTTCTTCATAAGAACTGTCCATGTTTCCTTCGTTTTTAATTTTTACTTCCTCTACTTGCATCTCACTGAAACAACTACGCCTCGTTTTCAATTTATATGTCACGGCTTCGGGTCACACGCACTTGTTAGCCTCGGTTACCTGGTCTTTCCCAAAATACGAGGACATCCGCCGTTCTATTTATTAAGTTTTATCGGACGTAAGATGGAAGCCTTAAAACAAAAACAAACACACCTTTAAGTGGAAAAAATATATATCCACTGTGAACTATATCTGTAATACACTTATACCGCATATTAAACCGGTGTTAATTGACTTTTATAATCTTATCTGGTATGATGGTGCGGACCTATTTAGTTCTTGTAAAAGCAACAAAGTTCAAAATATTACATATTATTCACATACAGTCTTTTTCATTTCAAAGTTTTAACATAAACTTTAAAGTAAAGCACATTAGAAACATTATCAAAGTATTGTTTGCGCTATACAAATTCTGTGTTGATTGGTTGATTGAGACTTTTTCTGCAGTGGCCATTATAATGAAAAATTGGCAAGTCTGTCTATTTGTTAAATTTCAGGATTGGTATTCATTGTTTTGGATTTTTTTCTTAAAATTTTACTTTAAAGAGAGCACATAATTCATAAAGAAATAGTTAGATCTCCATAACTTAAAAGGTCAGCGAAATAAAGATCTATAATTTCAATTTGATTGTTAAATGAACACATCAAATTCAATTCAATTATAAATCAACATTTTTATCCAATTAAAGTCCTTTGTTGTGTATTGATTTATAAAAATAAAATTGTCGTGGCAGTATATATGACCCATGTTTGTCCATAAATTATTGTCCTCCCTACAATTTAATATGTAGGTTCAATCTTTAATAGACTGCAAAGTTGCTGAACTGTATACCAATAGAACTTAAATTTTTCAGTTGTTATATACATGAATTTAAATATATTGTTTTTAAATATTTACTTGCAATTTGTATATTTTACACTCAAGCAACAAGAACATCAATAAAAGCGTTAAAATAAGCCTATCTCTAAGTGTTCATTCATAACAAATTTCATTCAGCATATTATTTTATTGTATCAAATTCATTATTTCATCCTCTCAAATTCAATATTTCATCCTCTCAAAGTCTCAAATTCATTATTTCATCCCCTCAAATTCATTATTTCATCCTCTCAAATTCATTATTTCATCCTCTCAAATTCATTATTTCATCCTCTCAAATTCATTATTCCCTCTTATCAAATTCATTTTTTTCATCCTACCAAATTCATTATTTTATCCCATTGTTTTATTATCTTTAAACAAAAACTAAATTGGAATTTGTCATTTTTCACATAACCCAATCATAAGACCAGCTCCCTATTGGATAAGTGTATATCAGAATTGAGATTTTCGGCGTCTTCCATAAAATTACAACATTGTATAAATTTATTATTTTTCACATGACTACAGCAAAAACATGATTAAAGGGGAATCTCCTTTCTTCAAAGGAAAGTTATTGTTTTCTTATTCGTAATAAGGAAAACTGGTCTATTTAATAGTAACTCCTATTCAACCTGTCTATTCGCCCTGTCTGCTAAATGATAAATTACTCTCAATTTGCTCGCCGCACCTTTATAAACATTAACTTGTGCTGCCATCTAGAATATGATCACATGACTGGAAAATGGTATTCTATTGGTTGAATAGCTTATGGCCCCCCTGCATTGCCAAAATCATAACAAGCTTGTCGTTTTGCAGCCAAAATGGCGAACCCCAGAAAGTTTAGCGAAAAGATAGCGTTACACAACCAAAAACAGGCTGAGGAAACGGCTGCCTTTGAGGCAATTTTAAAGGAAGTAAATTGTGCTACTAAGGTAGGTGTTCAATATTATAAATTCCCCACGTCTTGTCGAAATACTGAGTGAGTGGAGTAATAAACAGTCGCTTCCGAGACAATTTTCAGGCGTATAATTTTAGAAGTAAAATGTGTATTTTTCTCTTTCAGCCAACGCCAAATATATATCCTAAACAGCATTTACCTATAGCACAAAATCTAGGAGCTTATCGAGGAGGATCATTACCTAATGTCAACCAAATCGGATCAAATCAAGGAATTGATTTACAGGTATGAGTCGTTTTGACATTGCCCTAATTGTTCTGTGTCGATTTACCGTTGAACAACATGGCGTCGACTGTTATTAGGTTATATGACTTTTTCTGGCCGCATATTGACTTTAAACTATTGTATTATCAATTAATTAAAGAAATGTTTTGCCATTATTTTCAGACGGCACTTCAACATCTTGAAGACATGAAAACGGGTCGTCCAAATTTGACAGACAGATTTCACCGTGACCGTCAGAGACAGACACCCTGTCATCGTCGCGGAATCAACATCATGGATAAAAGAGTATCCTTTAATTAAATAAACGATCATGGTAATCAGGTGTCTGGATTAATTAATTGATCTAATCTCTTTACACTTCCTGGAACTCAAGCTAACGGTAAATCTTTTGGGAATTGCATTTATCAGTACAGGCTTGTAAAATAGGTCAAATTGTAGGTCAGTAGAAATGAAATGACACAATTTCTGTAATATTTTTTTTACAAATAGGATCAGGCTAAATAAATGAATCCTCAATATAATCAACAGCACTTCTTCCAATATTGATATCATCAACTAATCTTGATAATTACTAGATAACAATGGGTAGTTTCTACAGCAGGTGTGGGAAGCCTAAGAGGATTAGCACCTATTAACATAACAATTTCTTTACCAAGACCAAACTGTAAAGGAGTCTTGTTCACTACAATACATTGTATACCGTAATAGTCACAGCTATTTTTTTTTGTAGCAGCGTAGGGTATTTTTATTAATCTAAAATGCAATTTTTCAACTTTCTGGTACCCTTCTTAAAATTTGAGACCTATTTTAAAAATCTTTTACATCACGTAGTTTGATCATTTATTTAATGGACCTGGGCCCTTATTCACGAAAACTTAAACTAAGTTACAATCGAAATTTTAAGAAATACTGCAACTTCATTGGATATATGCAAATTGATTTTACTGGTCAGCCAATCGAATTGCAATATTTCTTAAAATTTCGATTGTATCTTAGTTTAAGTTTTCGTGAATAAGGGCCCAGTTATGATTTATGGACTGCCACTGTACTTTTACATTAGATGAGTACTGATGAATATCAAATAATTACTTCAATATAATGAAATATTTTAAATGGTCAAGGTGGTTTTAAAATTTAATTAGAGTGCTTTTGATAGCTTCAGACTTGAAAGTGAATATCTTTTGCTAAATTTCTTCCTTGTATTTTTCAAAATATTTCGAAATGCTTTTACTTTAGTGTTACATAAAAAAACCATTAGTTTAGTAACCTGAAATAATGAAAAGAAATGAAATGGGGTTTAACGTCCTACTGTTCTGCTTCTAACCTGGGCTAATGAAGACGGGCATACGCCATACAGTGTGCTATGAGGGAAATTTTGCCCGGGTAGCGGCACTATCGCCTACTCTTATATCGAATTCCAACTGCCAAGGGATCTTTTACGTGCATTCCAATGTATACACAGGACCTCGGTTTTTCGTCTCATCCGAAGGACTAGACAGCTGTCCTTGTCAGGCCCTCCGTCCTGCATCACTGACAAGGGTAACCACGCCGGAAAATCTGGATGAACTTTCCCGGCCAATGCAGGGATCGAACACCCGACCTCCAGGCTAAACGTGAAATAACAGATATATTCTGCATTAATGCAAACAAATAAAGTACACAATGTAAAGATCATGACTTTAATGATAGATGTATAATATTTTAGTGAATTTTTATTGAAATTTTGGCTTAAGTCTATTTTATGATTTGTACATATTAAAGTTTTTGGTGCTAGTTTCTGGCATGTACAGGTACATGTAGGTAATATTGTTTTTTTTTTCAATCTTATTAAAACACAGATCCTATTTCATTTCGTTTTTTATAGTTCACAATTTGTCTTTACTACACTAGGATCTGGAAGAGTTGTTATATAACCTGCGTTCTGGATGGTTTGAGGGATTAACCAATGAAACGGTCTGTTACGGCAGGTTTTTGACGTGAGGTGCACAGAACTGTGGGTAACCCACTAGAAACATCAATGCTGATTGGTTAATAAAATGTCTGACATCATATGGTCAAAAGTGACTCGTGTGACCTCTGACAAGACCTTCCAATATAACCAGTCAGATCTTCATGTAGTAGAGGCCATCGAAAGTGAAAGTACATGTAATACAAAACGAAATATAGATCTGTATTTTAATCAGATTGGGATTTTTTAAATGAAAGAAGAAATGATATATTTGAAGAAAAAATAAATTCCAATTTTTCCCATTTTAAATTTATTGATAACCCTTTTTGTTAAAACATGGCTTATTTTTTACTGTAAATGTATTGAGTTTTTTTTTTAAATGCATATATAGAATTCAAAATTTAGCTCAGTTTAGTAAGGAAAATACTGAAATTCCAAACAAGCTGAAGTGAATTGAATTGTTTTTTTTTATAAGTTTAACAGTCCAAAATTTGAAGTTTTAGAAAATAAAAATAAATTGATGATAATGTATTTAGTAAGCAAACTACTGACAATCCATATGTTTTCATAATACTAGAATACTCCGTATTGTTATGATTACTGTGTTTTCATACAGCACCCGATCAGTATGCTTATTATACTGAACCATTTCAACTAAGAGTAACATCTAAAATGTAATAATAATACAGTCCCAACTTTATTTATATTTATATCTTTATAACAACTTACAAAGTACTCTTAAAGTTGGTGTACTACTTATTTATGCCCAGGTAGGGGGGTCCCTACTGTTGACTGTTATTATTTGAAATATAAGCGAATTATTAAAATATAGAAACTGTACCATTTAGTCAAGAAATGACATAGTTTGTGTCAAGTGGAGGTTAAACCCCATTTCTCTCTCCCCCCCTCGCTATTTATGTCCTTTTCGATAATCCTGTTTACATTGGCCCAGTCGGAGCAGAACAGTACGTAGGACATTACACCCCATTTCATTTCCTTTTCAATACGTAACTATAATTTATGTTCTAACAATAATTATATATATTACTCTAGTCACCTGTCTATACAACTCACTAATTAACTACATTGTTGATTATATTCCCCTTGCGATTTGTCACATTAATTTGAACATTAAGTATTTGTTTGAAAAGGACTTGTGAAATCTTGATGAAATGCTACAGTGTAATAAACATTGGTTGTATCCATACCAAGTATACATCAATTGTTAAATGCCTCGCACAGATTATAAGGGTTTTTTTTATTGGTTTGACAGTCCAGTTTGAGTTTTAGATAATAAAAATGAATTCATCATAGATGTATGAGGTAAGGAATTTATGGCTTGCAAAGAAGCTATGTTCATTTAAAAACAAAGTAATATTCAAAAATAAAAAAAACTCTTGTATAATGTGTGAAGAGTACATGTACATGTAGATACAAACTGTCTTCATATAAAATTAGTTAAATCCCTGGGCAATAAATATACAATGTATAATGATTGACAGTATTTTATGGTGAAAGTCTCCATCAACATAATATCTGCTTGAGTAATCATACAAATATCATACTTATTATGCAACCTTCGAAAGTAATGCCTGTCATTTTGTACATAAGGACCTATCTAAGGTCAACATACAATGTCATTTAAAAGCAGTGGATATATAAAGATACATTATGTTACATGTATGTAAATATATAGTAGTAATGTAATCCTTTTGTCCCTACAGCCACAGTTTTGATTCTGCTCTTGAACTTATGAACATTAGAACATCTTTATTAATCAATCTTTTACCATTCAACATAATAAATGGACCAATTAGATTTTGATGTCTATTTCAGCTGCTGTATTTGCACAATGTTGAGGGTTGGATTGTTTTTAGATGTTACTTTTTTTGTACATAGTGTATTGCAGGGCTCAGATTGTCATTCGCCAAAGTTGCAATTTACGATAAAAATATGAAAGTAGCGATTAAAAAATTAATTATGGCGATAAAATTTTGGTGTACTGGTACGCTACTGGCGATTCTTTTTGAGAACTGACGGAAAAAATCTTAAAATTCTCATGGTACATGTATATATCCTAGATTAACCATTATTGGGTGTCAATCACGTGGCAGCATACTATAAATTAATTAACATGCTGATAAATCGGATTGTGTCAATGAGTAATACTTACCAATGGTCTCGGATTAATGATTAGTTGATTGATAATTGCCAACAACATATGTAAAGTCTATCTCAAGTCATTATTTACTCCTAATAATTAATCCATTTGATGTTTCGTTTTGTCTTAAAAAAAAAATGGAAATAATCAAAATGACTGACAGTTCTTTCCAAAGAGAATTAAATATTTTGACAGTTGAATTTTGTTTACTGTGGCGTCATGTGGTATGTAAAATATACAAGCATGCCTAATCGGATATTTTTGTTTAAAATTATATTATCACCATTGGTCGGAAAAATAAGTACAAGTCGAATAGCCATTTGCTTCAAATTACCGCCGCAGGGATTCAGATTCTGAAAATAAAAATAGGCCTATTGTACTTGCAAAACATAAAGTTATAGAAAATTGGCTATCCTTGGATGAGAATTGATGTATAAATACTAAAAATATATTATGCAATACGGTGTGCAAATAGACTAAAGTCACTAAAAATAAAATTTGATCTTAGTAAATCATCTCAAGTTGTTGTGTATTGTAATTATATCAGTAATTGTTTTATAATAGGCCCACCTGAGAAATAAAATTGTTGCATGTTGTCTTTTTAATCACACATTTTTGGCAGATAAAATATTCCAGTTGGTGGAAAAAAAAAATAAGAACATTTTTGTAGACAAAAATTATCATCCATTTTGGCAGAAAAAAATTGAAGCCAGTAAACCCTGGTGTATTGAACATTTTTACAATCGAAAAATGGAGTTACATACAGAATTTGATAAATCCTGATTATCAGACTCGTAGTAGAAAATCTATCATTAGCATTATTCATGTGGTGGAGACATAATCTGTTCATGTGTATTCACTAATATTAATAAAAGTATAGGCAGTATTCGGCTATTCCCCAAGCAAGGAACTTGACAAGACTCTATTGGGAATAGAGTTTGTTGCTAGAGGAATATTACCTGTCGGTATACGTTTTTAATTTTTAATTTGATCCCCAACCATATCACTGAGATCTGAACCTGCCTGCACTGTACAGGGATTTATCCACCCATCTGCAGCACTAACAATAAAGAGTTAATTCGTCACAGTCTTGAACTTTATCCTCTAATATTTCTAATGAATTTGCAATTTTAATCATAGCAAAGTTTGTAAGCATTGTATCTAATCATCTAACTT